ACGTTATATCTTTTGCTCGCTCTTTTGTTCTCGGTGTTTATCGCATTCTTAAATAGCTAGTTTTTAATCAACATAGAAGATCGTACCAATAACAGCTAAATTTTTATAGGAGTATTCGCTCGATCTGGAATATCGGAAGTTCACGTTTCTGATCTAATTCATTTTCAGGATTCTGTTCTGCTTGTTTACACACAGCCTAAACATTCAAAATCCTATGATTGAGTGGAATGCTTTGTGCACATTTTCAAGCTCTTTATCCGAAAGGGTATTGACTAAAAGATCTCAACACTTTTCTTTCCCTTTTCCAGTGGCCATCTAATGGTCAGTGACTGTACTTCGACTGAACAACTCCGTCAATTATTTTCTATCTGCCATAGCCTTCTTCATCCATTAGATTTCCGTGATCGGAAAATGGCATAAAATTCACTAACCTTCATAAACTGTTCCAAAGCAGCTAACTTATATCAGGGTGTATTGCCCTGATTTCAGGGGGATTTCAATTATTAGATTAAATCTTTCGATACTGTCTATATTTGTTCACGGTCAAGAGAAAGTCTCGAGAAAACATGTTAATCGAATCATCCATTGTTTTGGCACTTGGACCATTGCAAATATGAACCTTTTCCTTTTCTAGAAAAGCTACAGCCGGACAGTACTTATTATGGTACCAATTAATAGCTCCCCAGTTATAACATCCATTTATGACATTGTTGTCTTGAGTAATAGACTTCTGGAAACAGTCAAAACTCATTCATTCTGCTCATACTTTCTTGTCTTAAGTATTGCTCCATTAGGCTTCCCACTCCATTCATGTCGGTTTCATCTTTTTTTCAGTTGTGAAAATCTCTGTGTTGTAGAAGAGCTCGTATACTCTTCATCAGTTTGTTGTATTCAACTCACAAAGGGTTTGCTATATCCAGCTAAGTTCATGAATTATCACTGTTTTCCTCCATTACCCTGCCGTCTGTATCTTTTGGTGAAAGATTAGGTCATTATCGATATTTATGTCAGTCTTCAATTATCCTTCCTGTTGTTCCGTGTATTCAATATGTGCTTGATAGATATCGAGATTTTGGTCTTCCGTCAATCTACATACTGGCATATGCAAATCATCCTCACTCCAATAGTCCGACTATTATCCAACTATTGAGACTGGGAATGATTTGCACATGTGAGAATGTAGATATTATAATAGCGGTGATGGTTGAACAGTTGTCCATTTATTGCACCTTCTTATTTTGAATTAGTCAATCGAAAGAAATTGTTGTTGAAGTTGGAGTTTTTCGCTCCAGTGAGCTGAATCATAGCATTGTTTTTTTGTTTCTTCAAGGATCGACAACTCATTGATGTTTTTGCGGTGGTTATTGTTGTTCTGTATATTAATATCGTTATGCATAGATGCTTTTCCACCAAAGCGCGATACGGTAGATGATTTACAGAATTCTGACAAGCAGCGGCAGTGGGAACAGGAACAACGACAAAGGGAGAGGGTACAGGTAGATGTGCTCTGTATAGCCTTCCCTTTTCCTATCTTTCAGTACTGACACTAAATTGTTGTAAGATTAAAAATATTAAACTGCGAGTTTTTAAAATGAATTCGATGAAGAGGGATAACAAAAAAGGGACTTTTAATAGAAAATTTTGATCCATGCATGCGGGGAAGTAAAATATTACTTGAAGGAATAGTACTTCACGTATGTCCAGTTTCTGATAAGAAGTTAACTGTACATGTTGAGCAGGAGAGGAAGACATGAATATTCTAAATTGTACGAAGTTAATTTTTTTTAGATTGTGATTGGTATTCATAATTTAGAAAGAAGAGATAGCGAAATATGTGAAATATATGAGATATCTGGAAACCGTACTCAGTATCTTGCAAGCAACACCGCAGTGGAAAGAAGCTATGCAAAGTATGACACAAGAAGAAATGCGGGTTCATCTTGCTGTTTCATTATCATTCTTCCCTTTTTAATGATTATTTACCTATCTGCACAAATGACTGGAACAAAAGTCTTGGGTAGAACCACTTTGATTATTAAGCAATTCGGACATGTTTGAAATTTTTATTAAAGTTAGCTGAGCACACGTAGCTTTTCTTTTCTTGTTTTAAGCATGCAAATTCTGAAATTTTAAAAACAAGGTGAGTTATTTGGTATATCAGATTTTGAAGATATTCGCATCAGAATTTGCTGTTATTAACGATTTTACTTTGATTAACTCATGTCTAGTGCTACTGTTCCGGCTGCTGCAGTTCTTTTTTTCATTCAGAACTTGTCATCTTTGTTATGATAAGTCCTAGTTTTTCGAAAATTGCCCAAGCAGGAATGTTTTTCTCATAGATATCCTTCCATAGTTTAGGACCTCATCTCTTAGATTTGGACAGATAAAGATCTGATAGCACAATATGTCAATATTTCCAGACTTTTTATCCGTATAACTTAGCAAAATTTAATGAACAAGTTTCTTTTCTGTTCTACTTTTATTACCTATTTGCCACTGGGTACATCATCATTCATAGTTCCATTAATGATGAATTACCGTTTCCTTTATAGGGTGGTAAAATAGCTGAAATGGTCGATAAGCTAGAACCACATATTATTGAACAGCTAGTAAAGGCTAAAATATTGGAATTGCAACGTCTGGAACAAGAAATAAAGGATCAGCTAGATGCAGATGGTGGTGCTACTAATAATATTAAAGTTTGTGAAATTCAGATAGTTTGTCCGAAAAATGATTTCAAATAAACTAAACGATCTTGGTGGTAATTTTGAGCTCATTAATCGACGGGAATCTTTTTATTCATAGTTTGCAATAGTTCGGGGAACTCATTTTACTTTGATGATATTGATATTTATTTTCAAGTACTTAAAACCGTTATTCCTGGAGAGTTACTACGTGGCAAAACCGCTGATTAATACATATGCAAGCTTTCAACTGTATTTTTCGTTGTATTTGACTCTATACTTCGGTGGTATTGGCTCTTCTTTTAAAACTTTTACATGATCAAAATGGAAAGCATCGTAATCGGTCGGAACTACAGTTGTTAACAACATACTCACTCCGATATTTCTTTTTCATTGAATACTTCAATTATCAAGACACGCTGAAACCAAACTATGCGGTAGTGAAATCATAAAGGCACAATAATGATTGGGATAGAAAATTAGCAAAGAGGTTTATTATGAGGAGTAGTAGGTAACAGCTTTTATTTGAGGATTTCAGGAACTTTTATGTTTTCATAATTTTAGATACCGGAGCATTTGGATTTCAACAATTGGGAAACATTCAGCCAGGAAGATCTACGCAAACTTGTCATCAAAGTTGGTTTTATATTATTATTTACCGATATTTTATAAATTATATAATAATTTGTAGGTAGTAGCTGATATGGATGAACTGGAACAACAACGAAAACAAGACTTCAAACAGTATGAAATGAAAAAAAAAGCGGAAGAAGATCATAAAATGGTATATATCAGTTTATTATTTTTGCAATAGTTTCGAATAAATGGAGAAAATTCAATTCTTTAGAACCGTTTCCTATTGTCCTTGTAGCAGTAAGATAAATGCCAGCATCCAAACTTTTAATGTACTGATTGCATCGTCTTATATTAGACATTCGCTGTCAATTTCTGAGCAGGCGGAGTTTATATAGATTCTTTTATTTGTACAAACCATTTTTTTGACGCTAAGATTCATTGGGAAGTATCGTTTAGGTTGGGAGACAAAACGGCTTCTTATACATTTTTATTGTCTTTTGAATATTATTTACGACCAAATGTTAAATTTAACACATAAGGCAGGCACAAATGATTGAAACGGAGCGAGAGCAGTACATAAAACAGATGAAGGAGCAGCGGTGGCGGTACGAGCATGAGCCATTGAAGCATCCAGGAAGTCGCAATCAATTAAGAAAGGTTTGGGAAGATACCGATAAGGTATGTGTTGGTAAACATAAAATGACAATTACTCTGGATCGTAATTTTTTTTTTTTTTTAAAATTCGCTTCGTATTTTTGTATTGCTTAAAAATTAACACATTTTAGCATCTGCTATCTTAACGAACAAGTAATTTTGAAGACTTATAATGGAGTGACACATCTTTTCAAAATGCTCAGGAACAACCTAGTTTAAGCGCATGTGTTTGATCTCCTACTATTAATAGTCGAATACGTTGGAAAGGTACAAATTTGAGACTTTATTTTGCAGCTCGATAAAGATACATATGACCCAACAACACTCTTTGCTTTGCATGATAGAAATAATGATGGTTACTGGAGCTATGATGAGTTGAATACCATCTTTTTACCAGAAATCGAGAAACTTAATAATTTTTCTGACCTTGAAAGGTAAATTTTTGCACACTCAAGAACGAGGGTTTGATATTAATGTGTTCGCCATTATAAGAGATTGTCAAGTATGAGCCAAGTTTTGGTACTTTTTACCGATTTTTTGTTTCATTTGAAAGTAAGCTGTATTTTGGGGAAATTGATGCACTTACTGTAAAAACCGCTCAAAATTTTCTATTAAAAATCGAAAGAAATAAGGAATTCTTTAAATTGTTTTTCAGACTTGAGGAGTTGTATCGGATGCGTGACCATGTAATGAAACAGATGGACACAGATGGTGACCATCGTATTTCACTTGCTGAATTTCTTGCGGTTTTTTTTATTGTATTTCAAGTCTTCTGTAGAAAAGAAAATTTTAGCAACATCTCTTTATATATGTTACTGCTTTCAAATTTGAATTAACTTCAGGATAGAGAGGCACAAGAAGAAAAGCCTGATCAAGGTTGGGAAGATATTGGCGACAAAGAACAATATACCAAAGAAGAATTAGAAATTTTTGAAAAAGAATATGCAAAGCAACAAGGATGGGGTGAATACGCCTATTCGACACCCGCACCTACTCCTGATCCTAGTCGAGTGAATCATCCTGACCAAGTACCAGCTCAGAGATTTGGTGCACTTGCGGACCAACGTGGTAATGTGGATATACAACGACCCCACCAAATTCCAGTGCAACAACATATTAAGCCAATTCAACCCGTGAACCAACATCAGATAGATGAGGTTAACGTTTAAGAATTTCAGGCAATGAAGTTGCTATGTTAGCAGATGTTTCATCAATGAGAGGGCGGAAAATTTTCCTATAAAACTTAGACAAAGCAATTCCTCTGTCGAAGCAATTCGCGTGTTAGTGAGAATGACGCAAATCACTCTTGTCTCTTGCATATTTTGGTTTAGTACTGCTATGATCCTCATAATTACTTTCTTGATGAACGGCATTTTCGTTTCCAATCATTTTTTATTAAGACACGCTTGACTAATTTCAGCAGCCGATGCAACAGCACATCGTCAAAACTTATGGTGTCTGATTTTGAATATCACGGTGTTGCGATAATCTTTTTATCTGTGGCAATCTTTTCGCGTATATTTTTTGTTTTAATCAAGCTAAAGCATTAGAAATCATTTTTTTGAAATCAAATCGTTATCCTTGTTTTCATTTTCCACATAACAGGATTTTAAGATTTTTTTTTTCCTTTTCTGCCATCAAGTGGAATCGGGAACTACATTGATTCTGAAATAAAGGCAACAGGTCAAGTATTTTATTTTTCTTGAAGCTACAGAGTTCAGTTTGGCATATGACCAAAGTGAATATATGAAGCATTTTGTACTACCGAATAGTTTCGACATTTGCAGTGGTTTTTTTCAACTTTCTGCATTCAATAAAATATAGTTCGCTTTATTTGATGAATTAGATTGCCGTTTATTGTCAGAAGTGAACCAGTACTACACTGTTTGTGACAGAATTTATAAAAAATCAAAATCCCAAATATCGTACATTAAAAAATTATCGGCAACAGCACTTAGCTTCCATATCGATTCATTTTTTAAATAAGTCATCTCACCAAAGGTTGTGTCTACTCAAAACTTCATTATGATGCTAGAAATGCATAGTAAAAGGTGAAAGAATGCGGTGAAAGGAAAAACTGGGAGAATGCGCACATATCGCGTTACATTCCTAAGAGTATTGTTTAATCCAAACTCAAGAAGTGTTCGAGAGTTAGAATTTAACATTCTTACGGATGTCACAATCATGCAGATCCAGCAGCATGACTATTTGAAGAAAGCGAATAGGAAAAATTAAAATGGTAGTAAAATGAGAACGATTTAGTGATATCATATAGAGCTGTTATGATATGAGAAAAGCAGTAAAAATTATGATTCTCGTGAAATAAAAAACAAGCATAATTTCGAAATACGAGCGTTTAGGATACCCGGAAACAACTAAACTAATAATTCACTTTACCGTTAACACAGTAAAGTAGGATTAAAATACTGTAAATTTGATAAACAAGAGGGAAAACAAATAAGAGCGACATTCAGCACTGGGAATTCCAGCCTGGATTCGCTATTCATCATCAGGATGCATGTTGCGTCAGTAAAATATTGCAAGCATTCAATGAATACTAGAGAAACAGCAATAAAGTGACCAACAGTGGAAATCAGCAGAACAGCTCCTCTGTCAAGGTTTGGCTAATCTACGTCACACAGTCCTCTTGTTGGTCACAATCGGTTGTCCAACTTATGTCACAGCTGGACGTACTTTAACCTCAACTGCCACCACCCATTGGAGGGCATGACATTCCGGAAGAAAATGCTGGACGCCCGATAGGACGTCGTCCTGTTCCGTACCCACGACCACCTAAAATATAAAAACTCTAATCTGTTCGTAACCGGAATGATTTCTAAATATAAATTAAAGTTTGCTCCATTTAAACTAGGAATGATGCAACTTAAATAATTCTATATATTTGCTCTGATCACAACTTTCACCTCTTGGAGGTCCACCTGGACCACCACTTCCAGGCCAACGGTCATTACCATCCCAACCGTATCTGTGTCGTGATGGCCTATCTCCTGTTTCGCCAATCAGCGGCCCAAAAAGTGTTTGAAAACTGCAAATAATAAGAAAAACTCGTCTCAACTGCAATATTAAAATTAAGAAGAAGCACAAAAAACTTACAAGCAAAACCACAAAAACTTACAAATACAAAAAGAATGCTAAAAACTGCCAAAGCAAATTCAATGTCGATTTTTTCGATTCCACAATATTTCCATCTGAAATAAAATCCAGAAAGCGGATGTTAAAATGCTAGGTGATGATGTACATATTCCAAAACACTCTATGGTTCCATTTGCAATTTTCATTTCACTATAACAATAGCTTTTTAAAAGGCACACTGAAAAGGAAAAGGATGATTAGCCATGCAGAGCTCATTTGAAAAATGCAGCTCAATTTCCCCATCTCTACAGTTTTCAAATTTAATTAAGTTAGTCCTTCACTCAATGAGTTGTAATTCGTGAAATGAATTTTCAAAATGAACTTTATGGGTTCGATTGATGGAATACGGATGCAAGCGTGGGATATGAAAACTTACTGGAATCGACATATGGCATCCTTGTTTATAACTAAAATGAACAATTTTGCAGTAATAATTCATAATTCTTCATCAAAAACGATATGCGGAATCGAGAAAGTGAGATAAATAAGCAGTTTGTATGAATTCTATTTCATGCGTTGAAACAAATATGATATTAAATATGATATCTTATAACCCCACTATTACGCAACCTAATAGTATCTCCACAGTAATTATTACGCGACCTCACAGTATCTCCATATGTAATGGTTCCCAAAAAGATTATACCAAGCAGTGTAAGCGACCGACCTGAGATGGAGATGATGGGCTAAAAGTAAAACAAGGAAGCCCAACATCCCGGTGACGTCTACTCATAACATGACAACTCACGTTACTTTGAGCCATTATGAAAACGGCGTTCCAGACTGTAAGGAACTTCCAGGAACACCCAACAGGCGAAAGAACCCTTATATTGGGAGTGACCGAATGTATGAAGTGTATGAAATCAATGACTTCTAATATTATCAAAAGTTTAAAGGGAGAGATCCACTCATAATGAAGAAGCGACAGTTAATTTATTGAAATAAAACTACCTCTTAAATAACAATAAAGAAATATCACAGAAAAATCTTTATAACTAATACAGTAATAGTTCCGCTCAACATATATATATCAACACACATGTCAGTCGTCAATGAAAACTCTTGAATTACTCAGGAAAGTCTACATTGAAGTTCTCCTGAATGAGATCACGGCTAATAGATGCACTTTCGCAGGCTTGATGCTTGCATTTTATGTAAGAATGAACGCCAGTTGATCAATTGATGTCTGGCTTCCAAACAGATACTGAATAGGTCATAGGTAATTGGAGCTAGACATGAAAAGAAAAGAGCTTACCTACATAAAAGTATTTTAAAGCTAGACAGGAAACACATACACAAATTAATATCAAAAAAGCGCTAACTGCAATAATATTCATATTATTTAACAATAAACAATATCATAATCAAGAATAATTTTGCACAACAATTCTACAAACACTTCATTCAATAAATCAGTGAAATGGCATGAACTTACTGTATTTTCTTCTACAATCGATATGCGATTCTATTTTTATTTTAGCACACAGTAATACAGTATATAGATTGTTACTCAGCAAATTTGCCTCTTTATAATTTAGTAAGACTAATGAAGACAAACATGGATAAACTTACGTCCCACTTAACTAATTGAAAGAAGTATTATTTTATCAGCTCCAAGTATCCTAAATGAGGAAAATGTATATCCAAAAAGATCAAAATAAATTCAAGGATAATGAAAATTCAAGGAGCATGGATAATTCAAGAAGCACGCCAAATACGGTATCTGATGGAGTTTGTATAAGAAATTTTCTAGGGTTCTTGGCGCACCATAACAAAGTTGCCGTGTCAAAGCATCCACTGATGAACCATGTGCAACCAGAAGTATTGTTCCTACAGAGGGTATTGTTCCTCGTGATATTATAATCCTCGCTTTCAAAGAAAATCATACTGAAGCTGCTCCCTTTTCATTAATTGGGATCAACAGGGAAATGAGCATCACATGCAAGTTGGGAAAATATTCGTCGATGGACAACAGTAACAGGAAACTTTGCTTGCTGAAGGTAAAATCGCAGCGTTCTCCATGTCGTATTAGTAACAATTACTTTGCCGATTTCTCCATTTCTGATAATGTAATTGTTAAAAATTTATAAAACTGGAGCAAAATAAAACGTCAGAGACTGTTAAGTATAAAGGGGCTAAGACGAAAACAAATGAAAAAAAAGTGAAGTGTACTTCTGAAAGGAAAACAATTCTTCTGAAAAATGAAAAGAGAAAAGGAAACAGTACCAATAAATTGTGTTGTATGAATTCCGAAGCTGTTTCGTTAACCATTGGTTGAGACGAAATAATGGAGTTCTAGATATTTGAAAAATTGATTGGAAGGACTTATAAAACTTGATATTCATCGGACATTTTTTGTGCCCCAACGAAATTCAGCACATGGTCAACGTTTTTTGTTTTTGCAAGTTTCCTTACAACAGTAATGGGTAGTGTTTTTCTACTTCATTTTGTGACTCATAGGACTGTAAAACTTCAAATCAATCGTACATCAATTATCAACCTCTCTAAAAACAGATTTAGAGGTTTTTTTTTTTTTTAATTTCTTTCCCTAATGGATTATATCGCTCGATAATGTTGACGAGAAAATAATAAGTCTCGCGTAAATTACTTTAATCTCTTTGATGACGGTGCTGACATCCTCCTTGGTAACCTAGTTTGTCTTGAGATTCTTTAGCACTTACGGTGATATCACTAGAAGTTCGACAGAAAAGCGCGAAGTACTAGAACCCCTTTTCTTTTGATACCTTCATTGAATTTTTACTATCTACTATCCAGCTACAAGTAAATTCTAATGTGGATAAAAATACTGTTCTAGTAGTTGGACCTATCTGAAAAAAAGAAAAATTGCCTTTCGGCTTTTGTGAGTTTCTTCCAAGTGTAATACTACTACATTTCAAAAATTCCCATTTTCATCGAATACAGTAATTAAATTGAGTGTAATTCACCCTTATTCTCATTTATTTTACTGCTCCCATCCATTAGCAGTTACTGTACCTGCTTTTTTCAAATATTTCAAATTATCGAGCATTTTTGATATTTCAGTAATAAGCATAATTATGGTATCTGGAAAGAAAGTACTTGAAAAAAACGGGGCTATAAATTTATTTTTGATCACCGACAGAAGCTTTTTTTTCAAGACTAGATATTAAATATTAAATCTACTTGAATTTAAGCAAGACATATTACACTATGTATCAAACACCTGGTGCCGACATATTTATTACACTATGTTACGAATACCTAGGGACTTCCAAAAATTTTCAATTTAACAGAGTCAGAGCATACTCTACGTATGTATTAGAGATACCAGTACTGCAGGAAAGTAAGATGCATCGAGAAATAAAATTTTTCTTGAAATCTGAATATATAAACCGTTCTGATACAAGCGATGGCAAGAGTTCCAAGAAGATGTGCACGGGACCACTGCTACAGTTTTTTGTTTTAATCTGCAATGTAATAACTCAAGTGAATAACTGCGACTCAATTTTAATCATGAAGAAAAACATTGTTGTTTGATAAACATTCCAGAGCAGAAACATCAAATTCGACATTGCCAGTTCTGCATACGTACATCAAAATTATTAGTCAAAGAGTGCATCTTAAGAAAGAAAATTGATTCTGCAAAAACATTCACATCTTACTATCCATTCTACTTATACATGACTTGGCTCAGTGGTTTGTCCCATTAGGCAATGTTTCCCATTGATAGCAAAAATATTTATATGCAACTAAATGCATAAACGAATAAGTCATTATATCACAAAAATGTCTTCACAAAATGAACTGCGATTTAGCAAAGGAAAAAAGAAATCAATCAAAACATCACAAGGAATACATGAAAAAATGAATTTGTATGGATATGAAAAAAGCAAGCAAGCAATATAAAGTGTACATAGAGGAGAAATACCAAAACCATGCAGCTCCCATCTTTTTCTCCAGATTTCTACTTGTACGAGAACTGAGTGTATAAATCAGCTTTACATTTTTTTTTCTTTAATCCCTCTCTGGAAGAACTGAAGCTCGTCAGGAGCATATTTCTTTCTCAGTTTTTATTATTAATTTAAAAAGTTTCTGAGATCTTAAATTTACGGATGGATTTGAGAATGCTAGTAAAGAAATACAAACTAGCAGATGACTTGCCTTCATTTCATAAATATAATAAATTTGTAATTCCTTTTTTCATAAATATGACAAGTTTAAATTTTAAACCGGAAGTTCCTAAAAACTTTTTAACACAACTTCTGAAAAGCTGTTACAAAACTTTGGAAAGGGCCAGCTGTCGATTTTCGCGTGATAACCGAGAGATTTCCTCACCCAAAGTGTCGATGTTATTCTGCAAAACAGTAAATCATTTTCTTCGGAATTACTTGCTTAATTTTTTTATCAACTGGCTAAACCCGTGTAATTTGCAGTCGTATTTTTATGAGTTATCTTACCTTAAGCGCTATATTTTTATGCAGAGCATCTTCCAGCACAGCTTGTAGGCGTGAGTTTACTTCCGTCGCAAATTTCAATTCAGCCTTTCCAATTACACTATTGGCACTGATTGCAAACAAGTTTCCTATTAAAGAGGACGAAGTACTGCTACTACCATTAGGTCCACGTGGCATCTGTAAAAGTCCCCAGTTATTTCGAAAAGTGAAACGAAATTAGAAACAAACTATGCATATTCCGGAAACATTATGCAAATAGGAAATGTTTTTTTCTAGAAGTAATCAAATCGCAATATTAATACAAAATTTGATGACATTGCGGATTTGGCTACTTAATATTACTCTATCTTATATTATCTATCGGCATAAACATACGCAATAACGAACGAATGGAACACACAGCCACAACAAAATACAACAACATTCATATAATTTTTTGTCCTTGTTTACATCCGGTAAAACTTCATATGTTATTTATCAAATATTTATAAAGTTATACAGTACACACAGGTTTCACTGCTGCAACTTCGCTCAAATCTTTATATTTTCTGCAATGAAAACAATCTGCATCTTCAGCTGGAAAACAATCAAAAAGGTTTAATTTCAAACTTAATCCTAAACTGAACTACAGATATTTCCAGTCTTCATCATTTCCAAATAATCATCACCCTTTCTTAAATTTGCGGTTGAGAGAAATAAAAGTAAACATAAAATCACTAACTTACTTCCGTGACTTCGCAAATTTCCAGCAACTGTAAGCAAATTTTAAAAACAAATTTTAAATTTAAATCATAGGAGAAAAATTCACTTTAAAATCATTACAGGAGAAAAATTCACTTCACTAAACAACTATCCTAGAATTAAAGAATGAACATAACCAAAATAAAAAAATCTTACCTTATTCAAGTCACTCACTGGTAACAACAAAGATGCCTCCTCTCTCAGTGCGTAATTCTGAATAATCCTAAAATCACGGTTCAAACAATGTCAAGGTCAAACTTCAAAAAGAAACGGTTTTATCCTACACCCCGTAAGAACCAAAATATGATATCGGTTCTGACGTGCTTTATTATTATTCAAAAAAACATAAGTTAACTATGTAATGAAATAAAGTCCCGAAATTATGAAGGAGTTAATCAGAAAAATTATTGAAGCAAAGGTGTATTCTTTCTTATTGTTTGCTCCTCCCTCACTTAACAAGAAAGTATAAACTTTACTTCGTTTTCTTCAATAGTTCCTGTGTGCATTGTCGAACGTGTTCTTCCAGAAATTCTATCTTATCTTGTCGTCTAGCCAATTGCCGTTGCAGCTTCACAATCTTTTCAATCATTTGCTGTTGCACGTGACCTGGAACAAAATTCAGTTCTTCAAATTCCAAATCAGTTTTATTTGTAAAGCGCCTTTCATGCAAATATGCAAAGTAAAAAAAAAATGACAAACCTATGAAAACACATGTCAGAGCATAATTACATTCCACTTACTTGCTTCATCTGACGATGGTGGTGCTAGAAACTTTTGAGATTCTTTTTGATGAGCATCAGCTTGACTGATTAAGATAGTGGAATAACCAGTAGCCAGTGGACATATATCAGTGGAGGATGCAATCGACGATGCTCGTGACGAAGTGGATGGACCCACTGCACCCGTAAATAACATAACTGAATCAAAATCAAGCCTTTTTCTGATTATTTATGACTCAAACCGATTAAATTTAACATTAATAAAATCAAACTTCAGGATTTGACAAATGAACAAGTAATACTTCTACCGCTAGGTAGCAAAGTAAGTGATAAATTATCCTCTACTGATGCATTTGGTGAGGATAAATTTGAGCTTCGAGATTGCAGTTTACGTAAATGCTGCACTTCAGCACGTAATTCCTGCAAAAACTTAAAGTCATCTCTATGGCTTAAGCATAAATTTATTTTAATATGTTACTAAAAATGACTTAGCTGCTAAAATTTGCAAAAAAATAACCTTCAGAGAGCTCGAATTCTTCTTTCTTAGTATTTCCTGTTCATTACGAAGTTCATTAATTACTGCATTCAATTTGTGTTCTGCAAATCCAAAGATTTTACAAATAATATAGTTGCAAAACTTCAACTTCAAGATTTAATTTCTTTTTCAGTCCAATTTCGATTCTCGCAGTCTGAACGATCCCAACATTCATCCTAGAATAAAGTTTTGAAAATAGTGACTGAGAGCAGCAAAGAAATTTTAAAATCAACAAAAGCACCTTTAGCAATATTTGTATCGATTTGCTGCCGTAGCGTTCCAATTTCTGCAGACTTATCAACTTTTAACAGTTCCAGTTCTCGTTCCAGCTCAACAATATGTTTTTCGTATGTCGACACAGAAGATTCCAATGTCTTCACCCGTTGGTTTAATTCCAAATTCTGGAAATGAGAAAGAAATGAACGAAAAGAATTTAAGTACCTAAATTTGAAAGTATATAAACTCAAATCTCATATCTACATTCTCAATATTTAACAAAACAACACGGTACCAATTCTAAATTTATCAACGACAAAGATGAATACATCGTACGTTCTATGATTTAGAAATACGCAGTAACTATTAACTTCTATAAAAAAATAAAATCAAACCTTGAATCTGAACACTTCTTGCTGCGAAGTTAATGACGAATTCTTATCTGCTAACTGTTCAGTGATTTCGAGCATCCTTTCCGCTTGCTTTCGACATTCTGCTGCTTCTGCTTCTGCTTGATCACGTTCTGCAACCGCATCCATTGCCGCAATCTCTGCTAACTTAACACGGCGCAAATTACTGCAAAGAAAGATGAAATTTGCATAAGTTCGCACTGTAAAACACAGCCAAAATGAAACTAAAGCTTGATTCAAATTTCAAGTTTTCGAAATCTAGAGCTATTTAATACAGTGAAATTCATGTAAACAAACCTATTTAACTGTGTTCGTATTTCCTCCAGAGACTCTAATTTTTCCAAAGCAACTTGATGAGTCTGACGAGCTTGTTCCAGTTTCTGACTCAGCTGTTGACATTCTGCCTGCAACTGATCGTTTGTTTGTATAACGTGGTCGAGTTGTTGAGAGAGGGTGGAATTACGTGATCTGCAATCAAAAATCGTTTCTAAATTCGTTTCGTTACACTTTATTATTTGCTTGTTTGCAACGTCCACTTAAGTATTCGACAACGTGAAGTTGCTTAATGACGAATCGTCTTTCCTCACCTAAGCGAAGCCAACTCGTCGCATACATTGTTGTACAGTTCTTCCTGATTGTTCGTTTTCTTTGTCGCCGCATCCACTTCATCGGCGCACTGCTGTTCTAATGTCTGCAGTTGATATACATATCTTTCAAAAACAGATGCCGATAATTAAAATATCTCTATTCTAAATTATCACAACTTATTAAACCCGACATTTCACATGGTGAAGGGAAAAGTATAGATAATATATGTGAAAACCAATGCAAAACTCAACTTCAGATGTCTTTGAGCAACTACGAATTATTCATGAAAAATGTAGAAAAAGTCGATCTGGCAAATGTTTTTTTCAGGCTTGAGCGGCATCTACTATGAATGTAGCAAATAACAAAATCAAATTAGAAACAAACCTTCAACATTGCTTTTGCCTTTCTCAGTTTCTCCTGACATTCCTCTTTCTGCATTTGTTCCAGTGCCAACTGAGATTGTACGGATTCCAAACGGGAACGCAATTCTGTAAGTACCGTTTGACTAGCCTAAAAAACGGAAAAGGTAAAATCTTTTTCTACTGAATAAGGTCAATTGTCATTGCTCTCACAGAGAAATTTAGTAGCTATTTCATTCGACTGGATTTGAAGTTACTGGTTAAAAATCGAAAAAAAACTCAATGGAAACTGAGTAATCACCATTCTCATGGGAAGCATCTCACTGAAAGTTCTACGAGAAGAAATTTAAATCAAAAGGAGAGTGATCTGAGAATTTGACACCTTAAACATCAATAAATCTAGAACTTCAAATGAAAGAGCCAACTTCTAAGTGTTTGACGGTCATTTTGTGCTGTTCCTCACGTTCTTTATTAGCCTCCTTTTCGAATGCTAATTGTCGTTCCAATTCTGTCAGTGAATATTTCTAAAAACAGAACTAATGGCAAGAAACAAGCCCACGAACTCTAAAAATTCTACTAAGTCTACTAAAAACAGCGGAAAATTTAACAAAGTTTTGTAAAAGTTAATCTCGCCAATAAACACTTTTTCATTAGATCTTATTTCCGCTCAGTAAAAGTAAATGAAATAAAAAATTTTTTGAAAAAAAAGACTTCTTTTTCTATTTTAAAGCCTACCATATTTTGCAAGTTTTCAAAGTGCGTGCTCTTCTGCAATGCATTTTTCTCTACTGATAGCATATTTTTCTGCAACAAAAAATTTTTCAAAAATAATCTATAGCAGTCTAATGAACCTTCACCTGCGTAACCATCTAACCAAATGATCGGCCAGTATAATCTCAACAATAAACTTGAAAAGAAAAATATGTTGTCTAGAGTTTAGGAAACAGATATGTCGTAGTTCTGAAAAATTCTTTGAGAATATGATTAAAAATGGATTATCTTAAAACTCTACAAACAAATTTTAACAACGCAATAGTCCGAACTGTTTTTCCTGCTATTCATTGATCGTAAAATATACTCATAAAAAACATCGATATAAAATATGCCTGCACTTCAAGTCCTTCTATCTGCGTTTGTAAGCGCATTAGCTGCGCTTCCCTTGCCGCATATCGGCACACAGCATCATTCTTTTCTTTTTCGACTGCTTCCGTCCTTTTCAATAGCTGTATTGAAAAACATACTGTGGGAAAACTTAATAAGCAAGATAATATATCTAATTGAAAGAACTTTTAAAAAGACTGCAAACATGCCAAAACTATAACCTTTTTTCTACCATATATATCAAACAGTATAAAAATCAAAAAAGACGAGCTATACTGAAATGGAAGAAAAATCAAAGCTTATTTTCAGCATTATGCAAGGCCAAATATTCGCTGTCATTCTTTAAATATACTACCAATATTTTTGCACAAAACGGCTTCAGAAGTAAAAATTTGCTGATGTTTAATATACCTGCACAAATTTCTGATCCCATTTCGTATCATTTTGTTTTATTCGCTGTTGATAATGTTGCTCACGTGCCATAGCACGCTCAGTGGCCATCTTCAGTTGTAATTCCACGTCCATTACCCGACGTTCCAAACTTTCACGATGAGTAGAGAACTCACTAGAACGAATATAAGAAATACAAGAAATCATGCCACAGGCGTAAAATATTAAACAGCTACAAAATTCTTTCAGACAGATCCGAGATGTTGGAGGAGTAGATGAGCGAGTGCTCTAAGTCAGATAAAAAATAAAACCTTCGGCAAGCGTTAAGCATATCCTGAGTACTATCATATTCTCTTTTCACTTTTTGCAATTGTTCTTCCAGTTCACTATTTACTTTCTCTAATCTGAAACTTGAGAATTTAGAAATAAATTCTTCTGGACTAACTGCATGAAGCTTAATTACCGATTCAATGCCGAAAAAGTAGTCAGAGCAAATTAGAGCAGTTCCTAAATCAAATTGCTTTGCATACAAAGAAAAAATAAACTTTTTGAGTTATATGAATCAAGAATCCGGAAAACTCTTCAATATCTTTCAGAGTCTTCCGCCTGTAGAAGCCAGATACAATTTATCGTAACGGCAAGGTCGTAACATAAGGTACGCAATGAGAAATTGACAACCTTTCTAATTCATTGCATTGTGTGTTATATTTGCCGTACAACAAAGCAAACTTCTCCAGGTTATTTTCCGCCATACTTCCTGCCGTAGTCACCCTTGACGAAGGCTGTAACTCTTTGAATATTCGTTAATCATACGCCTTCCAATCAAAAAACTCAAGAATTTGCATGAAATGACATAAAAAATAACAAAGACCATATATTATTAACTTTTTCTCCACTATTCCCTTGCAGTTCCAATTTTTCCTCAAATTGTTTTTGCAGTGTTACAAAGCCATCATCCAACTCATTCATTTTTCCCGAAGAATCGTTCCCGGATTCATCTATTATTTGAACTGTTTCCGAAGTCCCAGCAGTTGAAGGTGAAGCTAGCATTTGCACATGCCAAAAAATGAGTGCAGTATGAGAATAAACAGCTTCTGAAGTTAAAATTCTTTAATTAAATACTAATGGAAATAACACAACTTTAGGCCACACAAATAAGCGTCCACCTGACACACACATCTCATTGCAGAATATAAGAATGTAGTCTACGCAATATCACGGGCCACCAATTCGTGTCAGCACGAAACCTAAGCCAGGAGGTTGACGGGGAGAGATAAGTCGACGAGCTAACCTTTCGCTCCACTAACATTCTCATATGCAACGCCCGCCAAACTCACGAACACTCGAAGGTCTCTCTATGAATTGGGACTGTATGATCTCTCTTCATCTTTAATTTGTGCGTTATCAAAGAATAGAAACAGAAATTTATTGTTGGAATATACAAGAGTACAATGAACACACGCTTGCGGTTAATATCAAATCGTTTCGCAAAATAACGCAAAATGAAAGAACGAAAGTATAGTACATTAATACCAAAACGACGTATGCAAAAGTCTCACGAAAAAAGTCATTAGAGTAGCGAAAAAGCAACCTCAGGTACTCAAATTTCAAGAGGGGAAACTACATGCGTCAATGTTTCAATAATGAAACCCTATTCTCCACAAGTCAGATTTTCTAAGACCTCCTCTCGAACTGGGAGACAATTCTATATCGTTATCATAAATTTCAAAGGATACCAATACTACACAAAATTAAATTAAAAACAGATCGAATGACAATTCTAGGGATAACGTAAATCTCAGTACAACTAACTCACTCAAAGAAAATTTCAATAAAAATGGAAATGGAAGACACGAAAATCAAAACGAAATTAGGAATAATGAATGGTTTAAAACTCTCTTGCATCTTTGATGCTTTTCCACTAGACACAAATATAATTCTGGTTTTAATCACTTCAACAAAGAAAATCAAACATACGTACAAAATAACATGACTAGCTACTTGGGAACTGTATGAGGATGCTTACATCAGTGCAGTAGCATCAACATAAGCATGATCTGACTGCAAACTTGCTCTGTACAAGACAATAACAAACTAATCCATCCAATACGGAATGTCTATTTTGATTTACACCGTGCTCCATTTTAGGGAACACATGAGCAAGATATTCTAGTAAGGATATGAAAATAAACACGCTGAGCACTCTAAGTTTCTCGATACTGCTCACCAGGTCTAAGTCACGTTTAACACATCATTATATTAATAAAAGGTGAAGTAGAAATGATTCAAATTCAAAAAAATTGGAAATGACGCACTTCTAACAATGGAGGAAAACTCCAAGTGCTAAAAGTTAAAAGCAACGCGAATCTCATCTATATAACAAATGTCTGCAATTTTCGTACCATAAAATTAATCAAATTCATATTTTCAACTAATCTAATTCTATAAAGCTTGATTATTTCGTTACTCAAAATTCTTTTCAAAGTAAACTGTCCAAGAGACAATTCAAATGCAATCACCATCCACATATCATGGAAATTTCAGGACTATCGAAGATTACAAAAAAAAGTACTCATAATGAAATGTGAATACAAAATGTGCACGTAGTTTTAACTAAAATTAAATATGTGACGATGTCTGAAATGCGATAGCATCGACAACTTTCGACCAACTGTCAATCTGAAAAGATTTTTAAAATACTTGGAGAAATAGATAATAACGCAATGCAAACTTATTTAAAATGGATGTACTGACTTTCATATTCATTGATGAAATAAATCAGTTCGCAAACAAGTAAACAGGGCAAACTAATACAGATCTAAACATACGTTAAATTGATGAATCAATGACTGCAAACAGATAAAGAAATGGATTCAAGCATGTAAAAATGTTAATAAAAATAACATACGCTTACCCAACCGCAAAACCAAGCGCAAGTGTAACCAAATTTGTTACAAGGTAAAGCACCAGTGCACGACGTCCATTACCGCCATTTATGCCCAGCAATCCACTAAAAGTCCACTGTCCTTTTTCACAAGCTTCTACAAAACGTTACTTTACATCAAACCTAAATCTGGGATCTCGGGGTGGATGAAAAAACCAATAAAAAAGCAAGTTTGCATTTGCATGAGTTCGTACGAAATTCTATCCTATTTTTCTCGAAAAGTCTGTAAATACAGTTCAGCAGAGAAGTGAGATGCCTTAATGAAACATGAATTGTGATGTCTGAGACCAAGGAATACATTCTTTGGTCAAGAAATGTGTTAAGTGATCTTTTCAGCACGCTTTCCACCTAGTACTAACTCTCAGACCGTTAATATTATCAAGGAGCATAACCGTAACGCCGAAATGAATGACAAACTCATCTAGATCATGTAAAATAAAAAATCACATGCCCTGTCCAATGCATGCGATCTTACGGCATCTACACATGTGCGTACCATCATCTTCAACGCTTAATTCCTCATCCTCATCTTCACAACAGCTACTCTGAGTGAGCTCTCCAACATCTAATCCAGGGACAAGACTATTTGGCGGCGTCGACATTTCCGTTTCCACCGGTGATGGAGCTTGAAGACCACTGAAAATTTTGTACTGACTAAATTCAAACAAATTATGGATAAATAAAATCAATACAAGAATAAAAACCAAATTTAAACATAAATGAATAAAGTCAAAGAAAAAAACGGAACAACGAAATTAAAGTTGTTTTGGTTCGAACCTCATTCAACTGAGCCTCAAACATTTCAATCAAAAGGTCATATCCTAATATTCTGAACGACTACGAAACCAATTCCTTAAGAATATAGAACCAAATAATGCACTCAATGGGTAAAAGATGCCACATTCTCTCTTCTGTGCAGCATTTCTCAGCTTTAACTTCAACTTTACTTCATTTTCTAACAATTCGAAATTTAAGCTCAACTAACCCTCTCTGCACCTCCGGTCGACTATTGTAATCTTCTAACCATTCAGCTGTCCTCTTCGTCCCTTGGCCTAATCCACTTATTCCAGTAGTTGCAACAGTGCAACGCCCTGGTCCATGGCGAGTATAGTGATGAACCGCCATTGTATCACCGCCATGAACTTGTCCAGCATCGATAACCAATTCAATTGGAACACTGCGGCCACTGATCGGACTGCAAACGCTTGTACAATGACACAAAAGAAATAAATACTCTCCTCTTAAAGTATATGAAACTTTTCTGTTTAGCAATGAGAATATCTCTGCTACCAAAGATGAAATTTAGTTTTGTGAAGCTAACGTAAAAGTGACAGGGTATAATTTTAATAAATTTAAGTGAAATATGTAAATATGAAATAATTACCTAAGTCGATTAAAAGGACTACTATTGCCTCCACCAACAACGACAGCCGTATTATCAGTGCTCATAACCACTCCGTCACTATCCACCATTACCACACTACCATTATCACCGCCGTTCATACTAACCATGGATGCACGTGACGATGGACTAGCCAGTTCCACCCATGAATCCGCTTAAAAACATGAATGACAAATTAACATGTGAGTGAAGTAGAGAAAAAAAAAATAAAAGGAACAGGGATACTGACGACAATTATCGCAGCTAATTATATACGAAATGTTTAAGTGTTGGGACTTAGACGTCAAACAAAGGAATACTCCCAGTTCCAACTGCATTACGCTTACTGACATTTGTTAGATTCATTATCAACATCAGCATTGGGTAACTGCTGTTGTGGTTGCTGTATAGATCCAACATTGTACAACAGACTTTTATTGGCAATATCTTGTCCATTTCGCAAAACTTCCAAACGACTATCCATCGACCGGATACTCATGTTGTTGTGTCCACCTATAACAACGAATTTTACTGCAAATATATTAGCGAGGAACGAATTCATCATACGATTAGAATAAAGATGGCAGATCAATTGTTTGCCATTCTTAAAACTATCCTTCGGCTTAAAAAATCTCAATTATTTTCATGGCAGTAACGAATGAAAAAAGTCGACCAGTAATTCATATATTTATATGAATGAGTCCTTTCTATATACAAAAGTGCAACACCATTGTAAACTAAACAAATCTTCACCAAATAATAAATTTTATATTACAGACAACGTAGCTAGTTAGATTTAACAAAAGACATACTAATACCTAATCACTCTGAGAAACAATCACTAAGGATATCCAATCCTTCGGTTTCAGTGGCATTACTTTGTAGTTCTAAAAGAGTCTGCGATGCTGCTATTGAAATCGTTTTGTTTAATCTACTGCAAGTCAAGCTACCAGTTGTTCGAATGGCTCTGAATCCAGCATTATATTTTATACGCGTTAGCTACTCAGCTTAGCTGAAGTTTAAAGAATATCAACGACAGTAACAAAAACATAAAATTGTCAACCCTTAACCTCCGTGACACTGCTTAACTCTTATCAGCCATCTTCTGCCTACTCCTGCCCTTTTGTCACCCACTTTATGAGACCTGAACTGCTCAAATACCATTTGGAAGTAGAGACAAAGGATCGGTAAAAATCACTGCAGAAATCGATTCTGTTTGATAACTATATGGATAACAAATCTATTTCATAATATTTATCTACATAACTCTCTTGTACAGAGGAGTGGGTCCAGTTAACAAGTCTTTTTCTCAAGCACACGCTATGAATAGTTACATAACTTAGTACTCTTTCTCCTCCCTAGTTCATGTATTTTTATATGTATTGTTTCTTTAGTCTTGGCAGATGACAAAAGCAGGAAGAGTACAAAGGCACAAATAGCAATGGAGTTAAATGTCAACGGCTTACTACTACCTGATTTTATATGAGCAAAAAAGAAATCAACCTGGAAAACATTTCTTCTATTCGGTACGGTCAAAAATGAAATGGTGAAGAGAATGGAATGTAACTTCATGTGCGAAAGAGTACCGTGGAAGGGGGTAGAATATCTGCTGCTAAGAACTATTATATGAAGTGTAAATCTGATGGAAATTAATACCACTGGGGCAAACTTCACACCTCATAACCTATAGCGGGGCGAGAATAAAGGAAACTGACGTCTACCGGCTGACAGAGTTTCAGGATGAGACCGACGACACTACTCACCCCCAACGACTCCACATCTAGCTCCCTCTACTTTTCGTCTGCAAACGCTTATAGCAGCTCTAAAACAATATTAACATAAGAAAAATGGCACAGTTTATTGATTTCTGGCCATTCCGCACCGGACCGAAAGTAATGCAGAACGGTGGCTGTAGATGGGTGAGTGGTAGTTGTTGGGGTCGGTCCTTCCACAATATAACTAGCAAACTGCCAGGCGTTCGCCGTGCTCTGCAATAATCAGTGGATTTCTGGAGGATGTCTGCCTAGAAGCTAGACCATCTCGAAAAGACATAAAAGAAGAGATAGAACCACGTGGTTACCTGAAATGGCCTTATGTAGGAGTTCCTCCTTAAAAAATTTTCTGTACTTAACGCTAAACCAAATTATTGTTAATCGTTAACAAAATATCTAGGAACTCGATGGGTCCTAAAAGTAAAAAGTAGATGGCCCTAAACCTGAACCGCAATGCAACTTTGAATCTTAGCAGCGAAGTTCGATTACCACGCTTTCAACATCGGAGAAGTTTGAGATGATAATGCGTGCAAGAGGGAGGGGGAGAAGGAAGAGAGGTGAATAGCTTTTGTAATATCGAGGCGGACTAACGACAAATGATGGCAACTTCCCTTTTTGTGCCAAGCACGTGAAGAACACAGCCACAAAAGCTGTGATGAGTGTAAACGTGAGAATAGAAAAAGATACTTAGGATTCCTAAGTCAACACTATGAGTCACGTACAACAGCTAGCCGACCGTTACGAACAGCTAAGACAACCTTGACTTCAGCTGAACCAAACGTCAGCTTAAAACAGTTCGGATATATAACGCAGTGTACTCTCTCACAGCCCAGTTTCAACGGCGATGAGATGTGCGAGATATATTTAGTGTGCCCCTTTTTTCCCGCACTTCCTAGCTATGCATGTAAGCGCTCGGTGTCAGTGCAATACTGATTAATTTCTTCTGCATGGACATAAGGCATGGATTACGAAAACGAGGTTTGCATGACCAAAGAAAATTTTTTTTAGAAACGAAAGTTGTTTAACAATTGGTAATTGTCCACAAACTTAATGATTAGAGCGTAGAGATATCCCAGATCTCCAGGTCAGAGTATCCTACAATTCTTCACCTTCATATTTCAAAATCATGAAGTGAACGTTGACGACATTTTTATGTCGTCAACGTTTTTAATTCGGAGAACTATCATTACAGAAATCACTGAGGTCTAATAATTATACTGGTTAAGCTAAGATGCTAAAATTTCAGTTATTCAATCTTGGAAGCAATGGTCATTCTAAACTTTGTCCTCGATAAATAAAGGCATGACTGTCCTTAGTAAATACAGCATGAGTGTCCTCACATAGTGGTCATCTGACAACAAACAAGCTTCCATGATGAAGTTATGATGCAGTGTCAAGCATAATAATATGATATTTGTGAAACATATTATGGTTTCATTGCAATAACGGAAGCAGGTAAATAATTATGGATTACACTGAGATAAATATAATAGAGAACAATTTGTAACATAAACTGCTTTTTAATAATAGTGCCAACTTGATGCTTACTGTGTTTTTTAGCATATCCTATAAGAGAAAATGATCTCCGATTGAAGAGACGAAAACTGCGAGAGTAACTAGTGGAAAGTTCCGCTTTGATTTTTTTCTGCTTGAAAATATAAATTGTTATTCAAAAACAAACGGAAAAGACTGCTTCATAGCAATGCCTTAAAAACCCTACACAATATTTGTAAGCACTGTTTAACTACGCATCATCGATCGATTTATGGGGAATTTGAAAACCTTACAAGTTCTGCACTTCGTTTTTCCCAAAATGTGTGTGGTGACGTAATAGGTAGAAATATAATGGATAGAAAACTCTTTTTCGTCGTTTCAAGACAAATAATTTGCAGTGATTATCAACATTTGCGCTGTTTATGATGGAGACAGCTGCAATAACACCTTCACATAGTGGCCAGATTGAACTGCTATCCCACCTGTTTGCCTCAGTCTATTCTTGTCACCTGAGCTTGATGCTTTCTTTTGCATCGCTGCACTACCATTTTTCTCACGTGAAATAAGTTGTTATCTATAATAAGCCATAACTGATAAGAAGAGGCATAAAGTACGGTCGGACTGATTTGTCTATTTCGGTTTAAATTGCAAATAACTCATGTTATCTTCGCATATAGTTTCATCCTGATTCCTCTCCATACCTCTATGGTAACGGAAATAATTTATTGTGCAACCATCTTTCTCCATGTGCCGAGTTTAAGCATAAGTGCGCATGATCACCGCACTTTACCGCTGCTGGCTCGGCCGCCGTCAAAAAGAAGCTTACAGTGCTTGTTCAAGTCATTCTCTTCGGCGAAGATGCTGGCTTGACTTTGTCCGAAGGTGTGATAGTGGGCAAATGAAGTGTCGCGGAGGACGTGCAGTATAGAGGAATGGCTATGGTGGGTACGTACGGCACGATTGCTATTTTCAATCTTCTTTTTGTTGACTCACACCGATTTGTGACCTCTCCTATGCTTCCCCTCCTATCAACTATACCTTTCGGCAGCGTCGATCTACAGAAAGGGCTAAGGTCAGTTTCAGTCTAGCTGTGAAATCAGTGAATGAAGTTTTGGTTGTAGTCAGTAGGTTGAATCAGCATTCCGGTGTGATCGCTCGTTTCCGTTATTGTAATGCTCTAGAAAAATGGTGGAATTGTTACCTCTTATTTCCAATTACCATCGTGTAAGATGAGTTTGCAAAATGTTTAGACTAATTGTCGATTCCTAAACAGCAGCTGTTATTTGTTGTATCGTTTTGTTCGTTTTACACGTCACGAAGTACAATGGAATGTGAAAGAGGAATTAGAGATAGACAGAGAGAGAGAGAGAGAGAGAAAAGCGATGAAATATTGAGTTGAAATGTAGTCAGGGAGATTCACTTTTGTCAACATTATTCTTTTGCATGTATTAGCAGAACCGTCCATCCTTGAACATCTCGATGTTCTCTTTGATTACGTTTCATTTTGCAGCTTTTCGCTGGTTGAGTTTTAAGTTTGTTCCTCAATGATTGTTGAGCAGAAATGAGATGCAGTTTTTATTTGCTTATCAGAGATTCCCTGTCTGAATTTCTTTTTTTGATCCTCGTCTAATGACTATATAATGGTACGGAACAGTTAACTTCATTTTAACAAGCCCATTTAACATTAATAGCATTAATTATGTATAGCTGTTCAGCATATGCTTGTACAATGACTGATGCTTTCACCATATGATAGGGCCTTGCTATTGTAAGATTGTAATGATCTTATTAAAACATCCGTTTAATTGTTTAACTTTATTTTTTTTCTTGATGCTTTCATGCTTTCAATACTTTAACTTTCTCATTAACCTGATATTAGTTTGTGCGTCAGCATGATTGAGTTTACTGAGTTTAGACAACTGTGTATTATTTTTTTGGTCGAACGCTAATACTGTCGCAGAACTGAAGCACAAGAAAGAATTCTGCAGATGTCAGGTGTTTTTAGAAGAGAAGAGAAGGCAATCAGTACTGAGAATGGCAGGAATAATGACAAAACCCACTATTGCTGCACCAAATTGGGAAAGGAAAGCTGACAGCAGTAGTATAGTAACCGGCCGCGAATTTGAACGATTGAAAGATGAAGTAGTGGAGGAGGTATATCTTTTTGACTGCATTGGAAAGTCTAGAAAATTCATGATTGAGAATATCTTTTTCATTTTAATAGAAAAATCATACTTTTACTCTTTTTTTCCCCTGTAGATCTGAAAATATATTGATGTGCTTATTTTATGGTTTTCTTGCAAAATGTTGCATCATTCAGCAACTTTTCTTTTGGCTTTAAATTTCAGATGTCGAAATCTTTCCCATTAACAGATCATCCAGCTCCAATACAAGTCATTGAAACTCTTGATGAACAACACCAGTTTCGTTTGGATGAAGGAGCGCTTGAAAAAGTCCTCCTGAGTCCAGATGTTATCGATAAGAAAGTATGCTTTGGACAACCTAGATCTTATGAAATTATTAAATATTATATTATTATTAATTGGGGTCATTAAACTAATCTATTAAGTCCTAAAAAATAAAACTAGCTATGGCAAACTATATAAAACAGTTTGAGATTCAGCTTATACACATTGTAAGTATAAATTAGTTTGTAGGTGTCTGTAATCAGCGTGGCGGGCACGTTCCGGAAAGGAAAAAGTTTCCTTCTGAATTTCTTTCTGCGTTATCTGGGTGCCTCTGAAGAAAAGCGACGCTCTGGAGATTGGATTTATGGTGGTGATCGCTTGGATGGATTTAGTTGGCGAGGAGGTAGGTGGATGACCTTGGGGATGGTTTGTGGCTTGATAAACGAGTAAATGGTAACTCATTTTTGTGTTTCCAGGTAGCGAACGTGAAACTAGCGGTATTTTAGTATGGTCACGACCGTTTATTATGCGCAATCGAGATGGTGAAGATACAGCTGTTATACTGATGGACACTCAGGGAGCTTTTGATAGCCGAAGTACAGTAAAAGACTGTGCTACCATTTTTGCCCTTTCAACTATGATTTCTTCTTTGCAGGTTTCTTTTTCAATTTTGTATTGTTTTCCTATGGTCTTTTAATGACAGTTAAAACAAACTTGTTTCCGTGCTTAAAATTTCTTGTTCCAGATTTACAATTTGAGTCAAAATGTGCAGGAGGACGATTTGCAGCATTTACAGTTGTTTACCGAATACGGCAGGCTGGCATTGGAAAACGCATCAGCTAAGCCATTCCAGGTGGAAGAACAATATTTTTGAATTTTTGCTACTATTGAATTGACTGAATTAAATATTATCTTATATCATGTATCTTATAATTTTAGTCGTTATTATTCCTTGTACGTGACTGGAGTTTCCCATATGAAGCAGAATATGGCTTCCAAGGCGGTGAACGATTGCTTGAACGTCGTCTGCAGGTAGATAATATATTTTTTGATTTTTAACTCATTTCGCAAAAGTTTATTGGAGCTAAATTAATATGATAAACCAGTTTATAGGTTTCCGAGAAACAACATTCAGAGTTGCAACAACTTCGGCAGCATATACGTTCATGTTTTGAGCAGATATCATGTTTTCTGATGCCTCATCCTGGACTTCGAGTCTCTACAAGTCCAGTTTTCTGTGGACAAATAAGTGGTAAGAATCAGATTTTTTGCCTTTCTTTTATTTCCAATAATTGGATTTGTTACACATTGTTTTGACTCTTCCACAGTGGTTTTTCTCGCAAATATGGCCTGCTCATAAAATTTTCATTTATAATTCAAGTAACGAAGGTTAAGTTTTATGAGATCAAGGCATTAATTATAGATATTGAGAATGAATTTCAACAACAGTTACGTTCTTTTGTTCCGCGTTTACTAGACTGCAATAATTTGGTGTTAAAGCGAATTAATGGCCGAGAAATAACTTGTCGCGAACTTGTAGAATACTTCAGGGTGAGCGTTTTTCCTTTTTTAACGTTTGGTTGAAATTTCTGAGTATATAAAAAATCTGAATAACTCAACGAAAAAATGGGTGTTATTTATAGGCTTACATGACAATATTTCAAGGAGAAGACTTGCCAGAACCAAAATCAATGTTGATGGTTTGTTACTTCTTGCTTTTTTTAGTTTTTGAATTATGAGTTAAAAGTTGAATGTATTGAAAAGTCCAAAGTCTCTTTAAAAAATTTATGATTATATTTGCAAAGTTCAGAGAAAGGCAAAATAGACCAAAATCGATTGATTTTATTTATTTAAAGGCTACTGCGGAGGCAAATAATTTGGCAGCAGTTTCAACTTCCAAAGCGCATTACGTGAGGAGAATGGAAGATGTGAGCTTTTCATTTTTCGGTAACAGGCAATTTTTTTATTGATTGTTTGCTGTTTTTCGAATCGCGATTTATTTAAGGTCAAATCCCTTTGATTTGCTGGGTACAAGTTCACGGATTTTTCGAAATGTCTGAATTGCAGTGATTTCATACTTATTTCATTCCGAATCTCTTTACAGGTATGTGGTGGTGATGCACCTTACATGAGTTCAGCAGACTTGGCAGCAGAGCATGAACGGTGTTACAAAGAGGCCATTAAACTATTCAAAGCAACGAGAAAAATGGGTGGCGCAGAATTTTCTGAACAGTTCTTAGAAAGATTGCACATTGATATTGAAGCATGTTTTGTTTGTTGTTTTTTTTTTTAAAGGAGCATGTGAACAATGAACAAACACATTTGTAAAACAATTCATTGATTAACTCGTCTATGTTATGATTTCTGCAGGAGCAGTACGAAAGCTTTATTAAAGTGAATAACAGTAAGAATTTATTCAAATCGATGCGAACGCCTGCTGTGTTGGTAACATTTATGATCGTAGATTATGTGCTGCAAGAATTTTTCCAATTAATTGGTCTGGATACCATCGCAGGCTTATTTTCTGCTGCACTCTGTATTGGTTAGTCAGGTTTTGAATTTTATTTGTCACAGTGAATCGTTCATATTTCACATTCTGCTGTGAACCTATTTATATTTCTAATTTTATGAATTACGGTACTTCGAAATTATTTTTCAGCTGTTGTTTCACTAAGTATATGGACTTACTCAAGATATAGCGGTAATTTGAGAGAAGTCGGTGTTATGGTTGACAATGCAGTTACATGGGCATGGCATAATTTCTTGTCATCATTGACTCAAGAAAGCATGCACCGTGCTGTTGCTATTGGACATCGATTAACGCAGGTTACATCGTTCATTTGTTTGTTTCTCAACATATATTTCAGCGAAAAAAAAAGCTCTGAAATCAAATCGTAGTTATATGTATGATTTTTTATTGAAGAATAAATCTTTCTAAATTAAACTTCCAGTTAAAAGTTATTGGGCTTTCAGAACGGCACAGCATTGCACGGCAGGCATACAGGCGATCGAAAAGATAATAAGAATTCTTGAAAGCGTTGTAGAGATTTCATATATTTAATTTTGTAATTTTTGACAAATGACTGGCAGTGATTCAGTTATATTGAATGATTCTTGTCTTGATTAGTTTCTCCTCCTTTCGTTTCATTATTCTTGCATTAGAGTATTTAGTCGCACTAACTGATACAGTTTTCTTTTGAAATAAATGGTTATTCACCACAGCCAGTCAGTTTCAGTGTTAGGATTTTCTGTATCTGTTTACCAAAGTGTGCCCTAATCTATATTTCATTCACATGCGTATATTACTGGAATATAAAGAATTAGTAGCTCAGAGCTTTAGATTGTAAGACAATCAACCTCAGAATTTTTATTGCATGTACATCTATTGAGTTATACTTTCAAGTTATTAATGTGATTTATTATTTGAAAAATGATTTTATGAGTTCCAAGGCTGTATAACATTGCTGGGAGCATTTTTTATTCATGATCGTCTTAGAATTTCATTTGGTAAATTATGTAATGTTTCATATCCTCCAGATCAGCTACAGTGTAACTTTTCCCAATCACTTTTTGCATATTGTAAATATATGCAAATTATGGTCTTTTTTTCTGAAATAAGTGCACTCTTCAGAATAGTTGTTTGTCTTCCTTTTGGTTTGTAGTTGAAGTGCGTCGACATATTTATTGCCATCTCTATTGGAATTTATTATTTCCCGATAGATCTGAAGGTTGAGAAATCCAAAAAAAAAAGATTTGTTTTTGCCAAAAAAATTTTTCTTTTTGACATGTACAAAACTTCATAAAATACTTTTTTTTTCACTTGACTTCAGGAGACGCTTCATTTAACACGCCATCATTTTGGACCGTCAGTATCCATCCATCGATTTTATGAGTTCGATGCTTGTGCTCTCGATACTAAATATCTCTGCAATGAGATTTCTTGAATTATAAATGCTGATAAAAGACTGAAATTGATGCGATGCTGGTCTCAAAACTTTCTCAAGATGTGATATAATTCCTACTTTTGCTTTAAAAAAAAATTCACCCATGGTGCATTCGGATCTCAGGACGACTATCTATGATTAGCTGGAATTTAATGGTTTATGCTGTCCTGCATAGCTTTGGAATGTGAAACAGTCAGTGTCAGTTGCCATGTGCTTTTGTTATTCGCGTTTTTTTCTTTATCCTGAACTAGCAGTCACTAATAGTTTATAATCCACTTAATGCTTCTTACCATCATAATTCTCATGATGTCAAACAAAAAAGCACGGTAGTGTTCTAGGGACGTTAATTTTTTTGAGCTTGGAAAGGTTTGCTCTCATAGGATTATTGGAATATACCATACAGTTTGAGTGATCCTGGTCCGCTTTTTATCAAGGGTGTTGAAGTTCTGTTTGCTTATTTTTCCCGAATGTCAGTGGTCATGAAATTATGTCGAAGATCATATCCATTAATTAATTGATTAATTGATTTTGCATCGTAAGCTTGATTAGTGTTAATTATTGTGTCATCTTATAAAAATGTTAATTTCAATGTATTTGAGTCAGGAACTATGTTTAAATTCAGTTTCAGAACTGAAAATTTTTCAGATATCTGTTTTACGTTTAGTAAAAGCAGTAGTTCGTCCAATTTAAAGTCGGTTGTAAAATTAGCATTTCCGGAATTGTTTAGCCAAATGTAGGTAAACAGTATATTAAAGACTCCCTACCTCTACGTTTGCTTCATATTCAGTACATGTAACTTGAAAGATCATATCGATGTGTAGTTATTGCTGTTACTATTATTAATTTACTATCGATGTGTAGTTATTGCTGTTACTATTATTAATTTACTATCGATGTAAGCATATTTGCGTTTCGGATTTCATACATTTTCAGTATACAGTTGTGATAGAAATAAACAATCACAACACAGTCGCTTTTTCATTTCATAAAATCTATTTACTGCTTACAATATTAAATTCTAAGAGATCCCACTGAGCCACCTACTGGGCATTAATTAAATATACCTTTGTTTTTTTTTTTCAAAATAGGTTAGGTTATTAGCTTCAAACTTTTGATTCCATTCTGCGGTATCAATTTCGTGTACGGAGCTCCAGATTTGTATGTGTTACTTGATCCAGTTGAATTCAATCTAGTTCTTCATTGCTTTACTGCATTGTTTGTGTGAAAAAAATTTGGTAGAAAGAATTTTGTGCATTTCACTTTACTGCAATAGGGCAATCCTGTGATATTGCTGAAATGACTTATTTATCATTGGGAGACGATAGGGAAGTGTGTTATTTGTTGCATACAACGGTTATCTTTGATCTCCAGATGATGAAATCTAAAACCGTGAAAAATCTATGGAAATGTTACTAAGTAGATTATTCTGTAATTAACTTTGCTAATAGGTTTTCTCGTATTAGGCTCACTTCTTCATCACTATGGTAACTATGCGCTCTTGGCTCTCCTCTATAAACTCCTCCTGCTATTTGCATCTTGCCAACATAAAAACTTATTGCTATCATTGCTGGAACTTACATTAAATCTGTCTCAAGTTCGAAAGTCCTCCTTTACTGGGCAACAAATTCGGTCGAATCATCATTATTTTGTCAAACTCTCTGAGTCGCCGGCTTTTCAGGATTTTACTAGAAAATTTTGAAATTGAATGTGCAGTTAAATGGTAACTATTGTAACTTATTTATATAAAATTTGCTGGATAAATTTGTCTGGTGAGCCATTTATTCTATTGATTTTCTTACTGTTTATAGGGTCTGCTTGGATTGATCAGAAAATTCAAAAATCAGCCAGGGAAAGATTTCAGGATATTGTTGCTTGGTAATTTTCCTTATTTTATCAAATAATTTTCATAAGTTCACGAAAAGTTCAGAATAAAGTTTACTTCCTTTCAATACTGCTTATGTGGAAAATTTCGAATTGAATAAAAGAAAATTGCTTTGAATTTCTTTGTGAATTTTGCAATATAGTCTTTAAACCTTGTGTACAAGACTGGTTCAATGTACCATCTATAATAGCGACAGCGCAAATCCATATCAGATCAAACATGTCACGCATAAGCTTCAGATTGATCTATTTACTTTTTCCGCATATAAGGAAACGGTTTTAAATATTGACAAGGTTTTCTAATATCTTTCAGGCTTGGATAATGCTGGTAAAACGACGATATTAAAGAATTTAGCTTCAGAAGACATAAAACATATTACACCCACACAGGTGCGTGCAACCTACGTTTTTTGATAGACAAGTGACATGTTTTTTGTTCACTCTACGTAACTTTTGTTTGCAATAATAAAATTTGGTAATTTCATGCATTGTTCTACATTTCGGTATTTTAGGGTTTCAATATTAAAAGCGTAGTATCTGATGATGTGAAATTGAATGTATGGGATATTGGAGGACAACGAAAGATTCGTCCATACTGGAAAAATTATTTCGAGAATACCGATGTTTTGGTAATCGATTTTCTTCCCTTAAAATGAAAGTCTGTAGAATTTTGAAAACTTCAGTGATTAATTTTACTCGATTGCTGACTGCTAACAGCCTTTTAGATTTTAGATATATGTAATCGACAGCTGTGATCGTAAACGATTTGATGAAACAGGCATGGTAAAAAGTATTTTTGATCAGTTCTTTGAATTTTTGATCACATTATCAGTTACAAACTGCATCCAACTCTGGATACATGCTAAAGTTCAGTTAGGGAATGGCGCCTTTTAGAGTTATTTAATAATAGACGGAAAGGCACAGTACACCTTAATAGTACTAAAAACACGGATGTATGGTCTATAAGTATTTTCAGTGACACCAGTGCAGGAGACATTGACACATTGGCTCTATTGCTTGTTATAAGAAATTATGCTTTGAAGGGTAGATTTGAGAGAGTTTCTGAAGTATTTTCAACAAGTTTTTTTATTCAAGGATAGAGAATTTTTAGTAATTTCCTTGGACAAGCAGTTTAACTTCCAAAAACTTTCTCAACGGTGTTAGTAAATAAATGTTGAACAGATAGACCCTTATTATTGTATTTTAGGAGCTTTTTGAACTTCTGGACGAAGAGAAACTTAAAAATGTCCCACTACTGGTTTATGCTAATAAGCAAGTAAGCTGAATTAATTTTCCTTAAACTTTCTTGAGCTCATATTTAGTAAACAATTGGTGTTTTCCAGTCAGTTCTCTGCAAATTTCCTACTTGAAATAAATTATGCAAATCTTTTTCATCTTCATGATATCATTTTTCTGCTGTACTGCAAACATTCTAACTCAATTATTGAAAACAAAAGTCTTTTCAATAATCTTTTAAATTTAAAGGATTTGGTGACGGCAGCTAAAGCAAATGAAATAGCAGAAGGTTTACAACTACTGTCCATCCGTGACCGATCTTGGCAGATTCAAGGATGTTCTGCTGTAACTGGAGAGGGTATCAAGGTATCTATCGTTCTCATTTAAAATAAAATTTTTTAACAAACAAAAAAATCAGTTGAAATCATCTTCTTGGCTTCGAAGAATTCAAAGTCGACATTTCTGAGAAAAAAATAAAGATCTATAAAAAGCTACTTAGAGCCTTTATTAGATTTCTCGTTAAAAAATATTAGGCTTTTCTTAAATGATATCTCTTTAGTACCATAAATTGATATCGCTTAGTATTGTCTATATCCATCCTATAAATTTGTTTGTTGTTCGCAGGATGGAATGGATTGGATCTCGAAGAATTTACGGCAACAACAACAGAAGTCGAAATAGGCAACAGTATAGAAGAACTCTATGAAAGAATTTTATTCTAATCAAAGATGGGAAAAAAGAAATAATACATTGAATTGCCAAATAAACTTATTGTATGTGATATCGCGATTGAATTGGGAACATTTATTAGTCAAAACACTAACCAGGAGAATGCTATCTAAACATATCCAGATCATATATGTTATCTAAATAAGCTCTAATGCTTGTTAAATAAACCCATTTTCATGCAGTTTATTCAGATGACTATATCATTATCTTATATATGTATATATATTTCGGATGGTAATCTAAGTCACAGAATATACGTAACCAATTCTACTCTTCTATTAGTTAAACAATGTCATCCCAAAAAGTTTTGATAAAAAAAAAATCTATGTTAGGTTTGATAATCTTAAAAATGGTGATCCAAACATGTTACGCCATTAGTTCAGAATGTTACATTGTAAATTTCAATAACTTCTGAAGATCGTTCTGTTACATGAACTGAACTAAATGAGTATAAACGAGTTCTTATTCAATCATCAGCCCTCAATCTATCATCATTACGACTAATACTTGTATTACGAAAATGTTATAAAAATTTTTTTGATATCTTAGTTATTTCAATTAGTTCCAAATAATTTCATCTGAACATCTTATCAAGATGTGGGACTGATAATGGCTAAATTAGAAACAGGTAATTTGGAAAGACAGGGAGAAATGAAATCAACATTCTGACGACTGATATAATACGCGTCATTAGAATATACCACCGTAATCGAACAGTCCTAGTATTTTTGTGATCTCGCAAAATTTGTGATGACAATTTCGATTTGTCGAATGTAGGTTGTATCTATTGAAGATCATGCACAGTGAGAGTAATTATCAACACATCTTGCAGTGGTAGTTGATAAAAATAAGCCATACCGCCAGAGCGCCAACTGACAACGGGATAATCACCAGCAGAATAATCAAATTACTGCTACGACGTCTTCCCAATGAGTTTATTGATGATTGTTCCTGAAACCTAATTGAGATAGAAGATCATCTACAACCTCCGTAAAATGAGTAATAAAAAATCTGGGAAAATTGATCAACTGAAACATTTTTAAATACTACGCACATCCTGAAATCTACGAAGACCGTATTTTGCAGTGATTTAACATCCAGTCCCTTTAACTGACTTGAAAAAAGTTCTTCCTTCCTTTTATCTTACCTCAATCAAATTTGACCGTTGTGAATCAGCCAAATTATCACTGTTTTCTTCCTCAATGGAACCGCGCAAATATGCAAATGTATTGCAAAAATCTTCTTCGCAAGCGCAAACCTGAAAATAATAGTGAATGAGTTTATTTGAAGTAATTTTAATACCTGAAAAATGTCATAAGGTAATTGTTTCCAGCAACTGGAAGCAATTAGCATGATCATTTCATCTAAGTAAAATACTTTCCAACCTCTTGCCATTCATTCCAATTGTGCTGACATTTAGCCAGAACTTTTGCATCACCTGTATTGCTACATAGCTGTTCCATATGTGTTTGACTATCTAAAAAAGACTGAAATATCAATTAGATATTACAAAACAATGAATTTTACGAAATTTTAATACTGATATTACTGTTTCATCAGAAGAAGAATCGGAAAATTTAACAATACCATCACTGCGAAATCCAATCAAGCACAACTCGCCCGTACAAATCAACGAATCTTCACAGTTTTGTTTGTCGCAAAAGCATCTCACGGTGCTTTCTATAAATTAATCAATTGAATGAAGGATATTACGATGACAAATAGAATCAATCATATTAAACAAATATGTAAATTTTCGATTTTCAAAACAAATATATTCTAATGAGATTGTTACTAATAATATAAGACTTCCACACTTTTTTAATATGCAAAATCCTGCCTCATAATGAAATGTTTTCAGAAGTATTAGGATTTAAAAGTTTACGTCTAATTTTACATAAATTTATTGCAAACTAATCGTATGTATCAAAAGAACATTACAGAATCCGAAACTTCCAAACATCTGGTTCAATAACTTCATTCAAAATATTAGTAAAGCTGCAATTAAAAGCTTGTGCATAGTATAACGAGAATCATTGCAGCGAAAAAAAAAAAACGATTAGATTATTTGAAATTCCAGTGCCAGTGATTTAGGAAAAATAAGATCAGTAGCAATGGTTCTGGTTTGATATATAGTATATCTTCGAGACAACCCGATCGATGAGCAACGAAGTGATCATAAGAAACAATTAGAAAAATGAACAAATATATATCAGTGACAGGAAAATATCAATGACATTCCCTCAGTGTAAGTTTTTTCTCGTTCTTCTTTCTGGTTTTCTTTTTTCTTGCTAGTAAAACCATCTTTTTCTTCAGCAATGATAAGTGTAATTATTTTTAAAGAGAATGAGAGAATGACTTCATTTTTTCAAGCCGGCTGAGTATCAGTTCTAAAAAAGTAATTGAGTGGAAGAAGTAATAAATATTCTTTTATCTGATAACTTTTTATAGTGCTAGATAATGCTAGTTGACAATCAGCGAATTTTGGAGTTTTCGTATTCAACAAAAAATGAAGGAACAAAAAACATTCACGTGCTATTGAGAGTCGTAAGAAAGATGTGAGCAGAAAGATTTCAAGAGATTTATTACCCTTTTGATAAGAATATTGATAACAGGATAAGAATCAATCAATTGGATATCTTCTGATAGCTACACCAAAATCTTCCGTAGCATTTTTCCACAGAAAATTTAATGATTACATATGAGCACTTTTTTGAATTGATTGATTTGAAATTTAAAGAGTATAAAAATTTCCGGATTGATTGACTATCAAATAGTATTGCATTCAAATTATGAGAATTATCACGGTAGATCTATTCATATCTTTCTGAAGCTGATCCGCAAAAATCAGGCTTGAGAAAAAATAAACCATTTTCTCGTTTCCTTTCAAAATAAACATAACCATCAGCCGCAGTTATAATAAAAAAGAATTTGAGATAATAAACAATAAAAAAAGAAAAGCTTAAAGATAAAAGGGAGTAAAATATATCTATCAATCAACCAAAATGGTGAATGGAAGCGGTCAGCCAAAAATAAGTGTCCTTTTAAGTTAATATGATTTATACCATTTTTTTTCCAATTGTCGTAAAGAATTTACTCATTTAATTTTATTTGAAGTTGTATAAGAATTTCGAAATGATTAAAATTCAGAAAATTTTTAGATTTCAGTGACTTTAAGTGAATTTTACCTTTGTCCGAATTTTTCGTTTTAATCAAAATTTCAGAGTGAATTTATCGATTTTCCAAGAGTAAATCTTATTTCCTTATTTTTCTTTATCCTATCCCTATTTGAAGTTTTAAATTAATCATTATGAACTATATCTACAATTCAGTATGATGACAGTAATAATTTCATTGAATTTTTGAGCAATGCCTTTCACGATATTTGTACTAATTTCATTTTTGAAATTTCACCAGAAATTTAATAATCCGATATTCTGTCCAGGTTTTTTAACCCTCTGTATTTAAGTTCTCCAGAAGTAAAAGCAAAGGATGATGCTGTTATAATAAAGTATTGACATGTAATGATTTAAACCAAAAGTGAAAATCTGGTCTTAACAGAAACATGTTTCAAATAGAAACTCAATAATCTGACATCTCATCCAACTTCTTAATCCGCTATAATTAATTGATGATTGAAGTATTGTAATTCTTCTCTTTAATTATTTAGTCACTCTCAGCTAACTTCAATTATTTTCATTCTCCATTAACAGTTAAATTATACTAAATATTGAATCAGGAAATGCATACAAATTGATGCATCAATTTTTTTATCCATCTATTTTATTTTATCTTTTTTAACCATTGTTTCGAATGAAATAAAAAATAAAACTCGAAAAATTGAAATTTAACTTACGCGCTAACTGTATCAGCTGTGAATGTACCAAAGCACATAAGCAGAGCAACATCACAGACAACAATAATCAACTACCCCAGCAAGCATTTCCTTCATTCTGTTTTTGCCAGCAGTAATGGTAGCACATATCCGATAGCACAAATAACAAGACTTACGTACCACTAAACCAATCCCTAAACATATCTTAAAATTTCGATCTTTAATTAACTATTGCAAAAACATCAAAAGAAGGGAAGATGAAAATGTATCATTCAAATTTTGTTTTAAAATTTTTTTTGCTGCAATTTACAGCAACATTCACAATATGCATAATACTTAAAACTATAACTATTAAATTGTAAAAGTCCTAAAATGCTTTCCTTTGTAAGAGAAAAAAAATTCTGTTTTATTTCAATTCTCAATCTATCATTGCCATCATTTGTGTAATTGATTTATATTTCACATATAATTCGAAAGTTTTCAATTAATATAATCGCCTGATAAGTAGGTACACTTCTGACGATCAAAGATCACAATAAATATCATATGCTCATTGATTATCTCATACAAAATAATTATTAAATTAAATTTCTAATTACTACATACAAAATATTATCATTTTGAAAGGCACAATACAAATATATTCATTTCATAAAAAATTAACTCAATGATAAGGCATTTTACATATACTTAAAAAATAATATATCAGTTAGTGAACGACATCTATGCATATTTTTTTCCCTCCAGCAGGTGGAAACAAATGCACGTTGGAATGAATGAATATGGATGCTATGAATATTGGTTATCAATGTCAAAGCTATAACGAATCACTTCAAATAAGATAAATTGAAGGTTAAAAATGTAAGGGAAAAGATAAATTCAGATTTTTTCCGCGATAATCGGATATCTAAAGAGCCCATAAGAGTATTTATATTCTCCTAAGCGCTTATGATTGTTGTAACGCATTTCGCTATGGAAATACAGCCCTTAAAGATTCCGCCTTCTTACGACAAAAATACTGATGGAATTTACTTGAGTTGCAATAACATTTACTTGTTTATCCGTTTGCTTTACTCATGAACAATTAGGCAACAAGGACTTTTGTGGTAATAGTCAACTGCCTACTTGTTAATTCACTCCATTTTTATCTAAATTCCAAAACTTTTTCACTCTATAATATCATGACAATTCTAATTTTTTGAGAGAAATGAGTAACGATTTAGATAAATTTAGATGCAGTAGTAAGTGAATCTATCGGCAATGTGTTTTCGTTCTCTTCAATTGATTGAAATTCGTAGTACTTTCAATTAGTTGTTAATACTTGTAGATCCTGTAAAATATCCTCTAATATATTCAAGTCGTCCAGAATAAACAACATATGAAGGAAATAAGAGACAATTCGCGGAGTATTTCTTTATCGTCTCGGATATTTGAGACATTCAGTAAAAAATGAGGATATTCAGTAAAAATGAAGAAAAATTAAACCAATTGCACCAGTCAAACAATAGGAATAAATGGAAGTCATTCAATTTTTCATTTACCTTGTGCAATATTCATTCTGTTAAATTTTCAAGAAAGATGAGATATATCCAACACTCATGAAAGATAAATATATCCAGGACTATAACTCTGTCATCAAACTCCATGTTTTTTTATGGCTTGTCTTGTTCATGTGCTTCAGTACTTAATCTACCTTTATCTACCTCATCTTCTTCCTTCCATCATTTATATATAGTGCATGCATGACATTATATGACGACTAAGAAATATCGTGAAGGGACCCTTTCAAACTTCTTGTTGGATAGGATCAAAAGGTCAAATTGGTGGATAGGCTAAGAGATCTTGAAGTTAGGAGAGTACATAATTACGAACAGTAAATTTGCTTCTAACATTCAAAAATTATTTAAGAAATCTTTTTATCTCATTATTTTTTTTTAAATAATATAGAGCATTTTAAAACAGAGAAAAAGGAATGCTATTCTTTTCACTGAAAATAACGATGGCAAATTTATACGACTAACATACCTCAAAATTAAAATTACATTTTCATTGGATAGCTTTCAGCCTTTAGCATGGAAAAAAACCGACACAAATCATAATTAAGTCGTATATTTCGTGCTTTCAAGTTTAGATAGATTGAAAGTTTTTACTGCACTATTTTAAGTTATCTAAAAATTTTTGGAATTTCAAAAGCAAAATAAAAGTGAACTTTCCGGTTAATTCTTAGGTACATGAAATGTCATCAGGAAGTCTGACTTTTCAAGATCAAAGAGGTATTACACAGAGATATTTCCGATCAAAAGATATTACACAAAGATGGTTGTCGGCATCTGAAGAAAAATAAGTAAGCATTTTAAAAATTTACTCTTTCCGATGATTGCACTTTTTCATGAAAAAAGCAATTAAAATTGCGAATTTTGTGGTATATATATATATACATATCTTAACTGCTCACTTGACAGATTGCGATGAAATGATTTAGAAGTGGCATTGAGATCAGAAAGATATGAAATAAAACATTCTTCGTTCCGCTTTTCATGCTATGTTATTCGTATTTCAGTGCAACAACACGGAATGTGACAGAATATGCAATAAGTTTAAATATTAATAAATTTCAGTTTTGTAAATGTAAAAAAAAAAAATGTTGTAGTTAATTATTTTCATTTTCAAATCAGAAATAATTAAACTGCAACACTTTTTAATGATGACATCGAAAAGAAAATTGTAACAATAATTTGGGAATATTTCTCAGTGCTAATCGATTTACATCATATACAAAATGAATAGATTAATGAATTGGATAAAAAATTTAGTAGTAATCTCTATGATTAAATTCTAATCTCACTGGTATTATCAGACATTCGATGAAAAGAAATAGGACGGGAAGAAAAAGAAAATTACCGTTGGATTCGTGGTAAAGAGTGAAATGAAATGTTACCGTTGGTTTAAGAATAATCGCAGTCGCTGGTAATTTTAGGACAGCGAATAATGGGTGAGTAAGAAAAGGGAGCAATAGCTGAAAGGCTAAGCAAGCTGGGAAAGGGTAAGGAAGCGAGGAAGAGAAAGGGAGCTTGGATATGAATTGTGAATTGAAACTGGTTGTTATCGGAAGCATTTCTTAGTGGGTCGATTTTTAATTGAACGGGGAAGTCAGCAAGAGCAGTTCTTTTTTCATCCGGAACAGATCGAATTTATATCGTCGATTGACAGCTTACCGCTATCCGCCATTACTCTTATGCTTTCAGGCTGCTACTCACTCTGCCATTATAATCGCACGGATACAAAGGAAACGGAGCAAATACTCGAACAAATTCCCATCAGTCGTCTAAGATTAATTGCCAGTAGAGTACCTCTTTGCTCTCTCTCTTTCTCTCTCTCTCTCTATTTCTCTGTTTCCTCTCACTGATATGCTAAATTGATAGAAAGGCACAAGGATTGGTACTCAATTTCAACTCAAACTATCTTATATTTTGTTTCTCTCAAATCCGTAAAAAATCAGATAGAGCTGACTGCAGGGGGTGAAACATTTTTCAATACCTTTTTTTTAATTCCTGTTTCAAAAGTGCAAAAAAAGCTTGAAATTGAGATGAAAACGTTATTGTTTTGATTTCGAAAGCTGCACGCGACATCTTTGTGTTGCTAATTTTAAAATTTAACAATTTAACAACTCCACCTAGCACTGTTCATTTCCACTGTATTCAGCATATTAAACCAGTATATATGTCATACAATTACGGTTACAAATTTATTGTACCTGCTTCAGCACTTCGAATGAATTATATATAATAATCTGACAATTAAATTCAATTGAACAATAAAAGTGCGGATTACAATTATTCAGAAATGAAACTTGAATTTACAAAGTTCCAATTAAAATTACATATCGTACTTTGTATAAAGTCAGAATAAAAATAAATATTTGGTAACCTTTTAGTAATTTAAAAAAAGATCCTAAACAGAAGCAAAAAAAAAGAATAATTAGACGGACGGCTTACCTTCCTGCAATAAAATCCGTAGAATATATTCCACTAATATCAGTAGAGCATGTTATTCTTTCTCAAGTATCTACTTCATTTGCCAATACATTTCCTCCAGTAATAAAAAGTGGCTTTTCGTGGAACCTAGCCAATTCAACTTTGCAGACGAAAGCATCATGATTGATTTTTCTATCTTACAACAATATAATGCTGAACAAGAACAGATTTAGTAATTTGATTTCTAGATTCCATTTTATCGATCTAAATATCTTATCAGATCTGTTGCTGAGAATACAGGAAAAGTAACGAAGTGAAGATCATTATAAAATATTGTTCCTCACTGGACAATAATTAGCACCATCAATGGAGCGTATTTGTTATCACAGACAAATTACTCTAACACATTTCGTAATAACTTGGTAAGTTATAATATGATATATGCTATTCCACAAATGATAGCAATCAGTAAAGGAATTCTCGTACCAAATGGTACCAAACGAGATGCCATCTGGTAACATGGATATTGTGATTCATCCTGAAAACGAAAAAAAGCAATTATGTACCTCATTATCAGATTGATAAAAATCCATGTGATTTATTGTTAAGTAGAATAAAACTCTGTTACATCATATAACTGACAGAATTGGAGAACATAGCAAAAACAGTTGTACCTCCTAAAATTGAATGTCTCAAAGGCTAAAGTTCAAATGAAGCGTAGAAAATAAGAGACTAATTTTGAAATGTATTACTGCATTTACCAGATGACGGTAAACTTCAAATTACAAGTTTTTCTTCTAAAATTAGTGAGTTTGACCTCGTCAGAATGTATACATTTCGACGGCGATTTACGTTGCTTTGCATGAACATGTCGACATCTCCTATCGTCAACATCTTTGGAAAATGAATCCACTACGTTTGTACTTGCGCTCATCTGTTGCTTGTCTGAAGCGTTATCAACCTGCAAAATTAATTAAATACTAATTGATAATACGCAAATAAAAAATTTCGCCACACCATTTTTTGTACCGAAAACTGAAATTACTGGTTATTTTCCAGTATAAATGAACATCTATTTCATTATAAAAAATTCCTACAAATATTTAGTTTACTCTTCTACCAATTAATCATTATTTTTTGATTTTAACACTTGAATCTTTAAGTTCAAACGAAAGTTTTTTAACCTGACTGTAGGCAATCGTAAATTCGGGCGGTGCGGAAAGTGGACATCGTGTTTCATCATAGCAAACAGAGGAAGTTGATGCCGGATTGCTTTGCACAATAATGACCAACAACAAATTGGTATTTGGTACCCAATGAGCATACATTTTTCTGGAAGCAATGGATATTGTTAGCTCAAACCCGAGCCACAAAAAATCCGATCATACAGATGCATAAATAGCTAACTTACACAGCGCATTTGGCTGGATTATGCTTGCATGGGCGCTCAGATAAATTATCAGCAATTAGCGCCGATGATTTCGGCATTTCCCGCTTCGACCCATTGGTTGACCAATTCTCTATACCCCAATTTGCCAAATAGTATTTTGCTGCTTTATCGCATGCAAATGTATCGGTATCACCAGTAAACGTTGCAGTATACGCTGAAGGATGTCTTTTTTAATGTTTTTCATGGTTAAATTACATCCGATTTCATTATCTCATCTTTTTACAAATTTTGAAGTTTAAAATAATAATAAGACCTAATTCTCACTAGAAGATTACGACGTTGAGCATGAAGTTAGGAATTGATCATCTGGCGATAACAGTTGCATTTCAATTTAGAAATTTAAATCAAACCATCAACATAAGGATGCATTAATGATGTGAATATTTGAATAATATCAAAATTTTGCAATAATGCCAACAATCGACTCCAAATTTGCAACAGCGATCCAAATATTGCATTAACCTGAAAGATAATCATGCTTTTGCTTTTAAGTTGTCGCATTGGAAAAAATGATTCTCAAACACATCTCATTTTCCAGTTTTTAAAATTTCGAATATATTCATAGCATAATAATCGATATATTTGACAGTCCTATACCTTACCCTAAAAGACGCACCAGCAGTATACATGAGCATTTCGTTCTGTTTACAGATTGCTTGATAATCAACATAAACTGCTCTGTAAAAAAGTAATTTTAATTAATTTAATTTTAATTGCTTTCAACGAAACAGTTTTGACCAGTAATTGAGCTGAAATATTCTTCCCAATGACAGGAAATCTTTTATCGAATACTATAAAAATCTATGAAAATTTTTTGAGCATACTCAGTATAATAATTGTTTTTCAACAACAGCGTCATCGTTCTTTCTGTAATTCGATTGACCGATCCAAACCAACGTCCTAACAAATCGAAATTTTTTGGCATTCTTGTTTCATCTCCGGAAAATCCGCTACTGCTACTCATGGAAGTATTCAAACTGCTATAAACAATATATGCATGCTCATCCAACAGAAAACACCATCGACGCTCATCCTGCATTAAAATATCGTTTCAAAATTTGTCCCAGAAATTAAAAATTGTTCTAGGAATTATTTGCAAAACTTAATTTGAAATAACTCGATTTAAATTAAAATACAATAGGAATTTGTTTACCTGTGGTCCACAACCAAACTTTTTCATTATTTTCGCCATATAGTCGAGAGTCAATTCCAATCCCACCACACCAACTAATGCACCATCAATGTCCAATGCCTTAGTGACCGTTAGAAGAAGCGAAATATTTTCTGGACGACCATATATTGATTGACTTTCTTCTTCATACCAAAGGTAGGCTAAATAAATGCTTCACTTTTGATCCAGAAACATTATGTTTACTGCTAACAAAGATCGGTGATGATGATACATACTTTCCTTGTTTATATCAACAACCAAACGTCCAGGCATTCGAATGCTACGTTGAAAGTATAGATCTTCACTGGAACGGCGATTTAAGTCTTTGATAAAATGCTGATAGCTTCTGAAAATGACAATGCATTTGCTATTTCATTTTCATATTCAAAAATTTTAATCGGGTACGCATGAAACATTCTCATAAATAACAAACTAATTATATGATAAATTCAATTCAATCAGATTTCCCTTAAATTAACACTATTCTTTTCCTAGTTTTTCCAGATTGGAGTTTTTAGCCACATTCGCTCGAACTCTACAAGCTTTATAAGTTAGAACCAACAGTCTAGAACTAAATCACGTCTACAAATAGAATAAAATTTCTTAAAACTTTCGCAACATTTTCAATAATACTAAAACTAATATGGTTTATAATACAATTTTAAACTAACGTTTGCTGCTTCGGTATTGCTTGAGCGCCTGTTGAAGCTATTGTTGGCTTCGGTACCGATCCGGTTTCTGGTACTATTGTTGGCGGTAAGTTAGGATTGACATTTGTCAATCCATCCGGTAATTCGTCCCAATATTTTACCATACCCGAAGCGGTAGCAAACCAAACAAGATGAATTTGTTTCCTATAGTAAAAATTTTAATAATAATCTTAACAACAAGAATACCTTAAGATAAATGAGATCAACAATATAAATTACAAGTTAAAACAAAAAAATATTGAAACAATAATGGATTTTATAAGCATGATTGGTTTTTTTATTCCAAACTTATTTCTAAACTTACTTTTTATTATCCTTCCAATTAACATCCCATAAATTTGTTAAACCATTTGTTGCTTTCATGTCAAACAGGAACCTGTCGATGAGAGGCTTTCGATATTCACAAAGCTTAGGCAGACGCCCATCTGCACGCATTTTTCGAACATATTCACGAAATGCAGCCTCAGGAGTTAACTGTGTGTCGCGGTCATTCAGTAAGCAATAGCGCCTGAAAAATGGATATTGCTAAAAGAACATACGAATATCAATAATGTCGAACAAGTGATTCGCTTGCATTTTAACAAGTCTTTCAATCATATCAAAAGCTCATTTAAAAAATCAAAAAAAAAATCACACCAGGTGGGATGCATCAGCCAGTTTGGCATATCATACCATAGTAGCTTTACATCACCGTAGTTAATTTCTTTCTTTGGTTTTATTCGTTTTTCATCACCTTTCACTACTGCTAATCCGATACTGCAATCAAAGTGATGGAGCAATAATTTTGACAGAAGACAAATTTTCAATGTTGTATAATCAAAAACTGTTTAGGATTTTCCGAATCCAGATAATCATCAAAAATTATTAATCTGAAGCATTCAGTAAAAAAAACATACGTGAAAAGTGATTGTTTCAGGCATTCCGAATAATATTTGTTGGATTGACGATATACACGTTCCTGCAGCCAGCATTACCAATCATTTAAACAAACAACCATTAAAAGAAACGAATAAGCTTACCAAATTGGCCGTTGCATACAATATATCCAAGGTATATGCCTTGTCATTATCGCAATTAATCATTGAACTACGCATCTGAAATATTAAATCAAAACTTTCCTTTCAAAATAACCAATTAAGTAAATCAATATAAGTGCATAGAACGGAACTTATCCTTTCCAAATTTTATTTCATATAATCATGAAAATTCTTTCCTTCAAAAAGAAATTTTGAATTGATAAATATAGAAGGCAAGATGTAATTTAAATTCGTTCAAAACAAGAGCAACAACAACAGAACTGGCAAAAGCACAAGTGCTGAGTGTGCAAGTACCGATGAAAAAATTCAAAAGACAGAAGAAAAGTGCAAAACATCAAGCTTCAATTTCTTCTAGTTAATTGAAAATCGTCCTAAAATTTTTCAAAATAACTCTCATGAAATCAACTGGATGAATTCAATACTCAAAAGGAAAAAAAGAAAACCACAAACGGGAAGGACATAGCATGCAGCAATTACAACTAATTACAACAAAGAGGAAACCAGCAATGGAGTAGAATTTTACCGCACTAGTATCGTATTGTAAACGATTCATCACTGATAAATGATCGTCTAACTAAAAATCTGCCAATAGATATATAAATTAAAATTAAAGAGAAAATACGACAAGAAGAGCAGAAGGTACCCTGAATAAGCCTATCACATCAAACGTTCAATGTTTCAATGTTTATCATTATTCAAAATTGTGACAGAAAACTAACTATTTGTTGATTTTGTGGCACTTCGAGTTCCAGAATATCAATATTGTTGTAATTCAATTTCATTTGCTTTGTTTCCGGGTCCTATAAAACGTGTTCTAAACTGGTATAGAAATAAATTCTACAGCGAATATGAATTAAGGACTTCTATTTTTATCATAATAACCTAAAGATCAAAGTAATGAATGAAGCATTAAAAATCATATTATGCTATTACGATCAATGTTCCATTTACCAGAGGGCGCATTTGTGGATGAAACATCACATAACCATTATTATCCAACATAAATGCGTAGCTTCGACTTCCAAACTGTAAATTAATAAATTTCTAAAAAAAGAAAACTGAATCAATCAATGTCATTATTTCGGTTACTATAATATTTTATAAACTTTATGAACAAATCGAAGATTGACTTTTTTATCGTTACACTTACACCGGAAAATCTCGGTAGTTATATGGATGTTAGTTTTATCCTCCACGAATGCAACATAGCTTACATTTACAGTATGGACGAGTTGTGCCAACTCAATGACCGGTACATTAACGGCAGCAACTCCCATCAATTCTTCATCTTTGATCACAGGATAACTTACCGTTGTAACCAACATTTCTGTCTAAAAATAAACAAAAACATCCTTGGTTATCGATAACATGTCAAGCCGTTCTAAATCCAAATGTAGCTTCGTAGTAGGAATGAGAAGTTGGAAAAATTAAAAGCAACAAAGAGATAATGACTGGATAAGAGTGATATGGTGAGAAAAAGAATAGTTTGATTATCTTCACTGTTTTCTTGTATCTATTTAGAGGGTCATTCAGCCTTGAAATCTTCTACCATCCAAGTGATTGATTAAAAACAGAAATCTCAATATCGAAACAGTTCTAACCTCACCTTTCTTAATTTTTTTGAAAAATAAAAGTGGTGAAAATCGTAATATAAATGTAGCATCAGGAATTTTATATATAAAATTCTGAATACTTAACTAACCCTTGGATCCACACGTTTGATCCGGGCTTTCTGTAAAATGCAGTTATTAAAATAAATGAGGTAGGGTTTGGTAATTTATGAGAAATGTAAGTAATTGAAAGAAAAGTTACAATGTAAAAGCTAAAAATAATAAAAAATTATGACTTACTTTCTTCACTGGGCTTTCACTGATTGTTAGCTAAAACAAATAAAATCCATTTATCTATAGAAATTCAAAAATTTTTGTTTTTCTATACAAATTTCCTATATTTTCTTATACCTTCGCAGATTTTTTTATTTAAAAAAAGAACAAAAACTTGCACCTTTCATCAATATTTTAGAAAGTTTAAATATATGAATATATGAATATTTATCATAAATATCTTCATAAAAAGCGAAGGAAGATTAAATTACCAATCGTTCCTTGTATATTCCACTCCAAATGGCATCTTTTTCACCAAAACTTGCACCATGCTTACCGACCGGCCGACTCATTACTTTGATATAATGCTAAAAATCTAATAAATCTTTCCTATGTATTTTCAAAATTTTAAACTTATTGACTTATTTGCTTGTTGACTATAGTCAACAAGCAAATAACGGACCATAATATCTGATCCGCTTTCGACAAAAGTCAATAGGTAATAAAATTATGAAGTGCTGAACTCATTCTTTATTTCAAAATAATTTTGAACCGAGAGCTTTGACCTTTGACCGGGGTTGTAAATATCACAACTACAATTGATAGATATAAGTATAAGTAACTTTGAAATACCTGAACTTTTTCCTGTACATCAGCCAAATTACTGATATGCACCATGAAGCCTTTGTTTTCACAAGCCATCCATTTCACTTGTGTCACATCTGTTGCTTCTTCCCCTATCAGAAATGAAAAGAAACGAACCTACAAAACATCACCACTCCATTTAACGCAATCCTCGTAATTAAAGTTTCCAAGTTTACTAAGTAAGATTTACACGGCGAAATTTACAACTGATATCTCATATTCAATATATAAAGTGACCAGTTGGGTGAACTATATCAGAGTATTGTAATATTCGACAATATCTAACATGAAGTGATGAAGTCATTCACCGATTTATTTTTATTATATAGATGGAAAATCTGTTTGAAATAATTGGGTGCTCCATCAGTAATTAGCATAATGATATCGTTACAACCAAACCGTGTTTTCTTTCCCGTATAATTACGCATCTGTAATAAAGCCAAATATCTACATTCCTTGTACAATACCGATATTTCATGATAATTTGTTAAATGTTTGGAATTCCCCAAAAATTTCCACCCAGCGTCGTTTTAATTTTCCGTCCATTTTCTCAACACAAAACAACAATAACTATGAATCTCAAAAAATTGAGCTTCTCTTCTGCTCTCTTTTAATCTATGCAAAAAGCGATGGGTACATACAACTTCGTCATTCCATCCAAATTTTAAACCAATATCTATGATTTGTTAAAGAAATGAAATTTTTAGTTACTTTGAAAATTTCATAATGATATTGTTATCCAACTCGACATTTAGTTAAAATCCAAATTTCTTAGATTCATAAATACGATGATGCTGTTTGCAACAGTGATGCTCAAGCATTCCTATGAGGTGACTAAACATTGGTAAGCAGTATGAACAAAAAAACATGAAGAAAAGCAGTACATGCGAAAAGTCAGTGATCAGCGGTTTAGTTTTACTTTTTAAGGATAAGCTTGTACAAATATTATGTTGCTTATAATATCATCACTTACTGCCTGGTAAAGATGATTCGGGATCACAAGAATATGATCTTGAACAGCGATGTAATGAACATCAGCAGGTAGTACACCACCAGCTAACTCCCGACGAATTGCCAATTCTTCAGTTGTTGTAAAATTGACCGATCCGGGAAGCTGTATGTGGATGAAGCGCAAACGATAATAGACAAAAAAAGACAGAAACGAATAACACGATACCTTTTCCAGGCTAATCAATTTAGTAAGAGCATTTTGTCAAATGAAATGGATTTATATGTATCCGAAAAGCTTGTAAATCCATAATCATTTATTTTTAAAATTATACATGTTTCCAAAGACTACACACAAACGTAGTTTAAAATATAGTTAACGTTGGTACTCTAACGTTAGCAAAATAATTTGAAAGTAGCAGGCATATACACTATTTACAAAAGCGTCAAAATGTAAGCCTTTCTCTTTTAGTTTCAAGCAATTTCACAACAAGCACATCAAACATAAAGCTGAAGCAACAAAAAAGTTTAATTAAATATCTTAAAATCAACTTATTATGTGTTGAAAAAAATTCTTCACGAAAAGAAAACTTACTTTCATCAATGTTTCGAAGGCTTTAATTAACCCTTTTTCATATTCTGCCTTACCCTCTGATGACATACCATTCAATCGTGCCCGTAGCATCTAAAACATTATCCCAGGCATGCTGAACATATTTTCTTAAAATTTAAATACGGTATTCAAAATGAACATTCAATTAAAATAGAGAAATAATACATTGAATTAATTCGATCATAAGATTTAACTAAAAAAGTGATCTTTAGTTGAACAGAAGAAAATGAGAAAATGAAAATGCACAAGAAAAATACCTTTTTGTTACGAACTGTTGCTTGTAATAAACCGGCCTTTTCGCTACATTCATCTAAGAAACCAACCGTTTTTGAGAACTGTAAAACAATTTTTATATTAGAAATAAAAGTATGAAAAAATCATCCATTAAAAGTTCCGAACTCAAATTCAATTTCTGAAGTAAATAACGATTTGAGAAAAGTAATGACCAGTAATATGTTGAAGAAATCATTGTCGGAGAGTGTTTCTAATATTGCTTCCACGGTTTGTTTGGCTATTTCGAATCTTTGTCCAAGCATTGAACCAGACATATCCAACATTATAATTACATTTTTGGATAGCGTTGCAGCATTTATATACCTGAAAACACAATCGAAATTTGCGTTCAGTCAGAAAATAACAAAGAAAGTATCAAAAATAATTATTGTGGCAGTTTTTAAAATCATTGCATGAAGATGTTGACACAGATTTCTACGACATTCAACTATAAAAGCTTTTTCAGAAAATTGAAATAATTTCAATCCACAAAAATTAAAAAGGGATGTGATACAAATACATAACAATTATATCATAGCATAGACCAAAAAAGGAAAAGAATGATTTTTATAAAAATGTCCATGTTTACCATTTCGTACTCCTGCAGTCGAATAAGTCAAGTTTTTCTACACGATTGTCCCATACCCACGATACTGCTGCAAAATGAAATGGTCAATCAAAGATCTTGCAATCAAGATGAAATTTTAATTTAAGATATCACAATCCTAATAACAGCTTCAAAGATGTCCAAAAATGACAATCCAATTTCAAAAACTAAAAGGAAAATAATATGAAACTTTCGATAAGTGATGCAAAATGTGTAAATCGATATCTACCCGGATAATAGCGCATAAATCCTGATTCAGAGCAAAACATCTGGAAAGCGAGATCATGCGTTTCTTCCTGATTTGCTCGGTATAAATAATCGATATCAGACCAATCTATTTTCAACAACACTTCCGGACCTGAAGATTTTTAGCTTATTTATTTCTTTATAAATTTAAAAATAGACTTAGTCCATCAGCATCACATCAAGAAAGCGAAATAATACGAAATGTTTAAATTTCTTGGCGATTCTTGTAATGGTTTGTTGTACAGTACATATTAATTTATTTCAAGTATAATAGAATGTGGAAGAATTCCACTCATACAATAAGCAAATTATTACAATTTTAAAATATTAAACTGAGCTACGCTCTTACTTCGGTCATAGACCGGTGTTGGAACATGGACGGCTGAAGAGAGTGAACTTGTTGAAATTCCGTACAAATTAGCATTCAGTGTTAAATTAAACCATCGTGTACTATTTACCTGCAAAAATACACAGAATGTATTTTTGAAAACTGATATGATTGAATTTAATTAAACTACAGCGACAGATAGGGTCATAAAGTGAAACGACCCGACATTTGAAATGATATTTTCATATGAATTTGTAGTAATGAAGACCAGAAAAGTAGACAACCTTCTACTCGACTTCTGGATTTTTCTGGCTCCATTTCCCTAAATAGATACTTTTTGGTGCTCATTTATGTTTTACATAGAAATAAATGTTTAATAATCGAAAATGGAAATATTCGGAGAATTACCTCGATCACACCAGCTGTACGATCCTGCACATACACTCGAGCGGCATCAGTTTCTTGCTTAGCTGCCATGAAGCGTATGAAATGAGAGCTCGTCGGATCATTTACATCACACTCAGTGAGATTAGCGAAATGGCGTGATTCCAGCGACACTTTCGCTTCCTGAATTTCACATACAATTTTAACTAAAATTTAAATTCAAATACAAATTTTGTTATGGATTAAATGGAACTCAAACTATTAGTTCATTCAGTATATTTCATTCAAATTAGTCAGATAAATTGTGCAGAGTCAGATTAATTTGGTCCATTTTGTTTTGAATAGTTTCAATTCCAAATGATAATTTTTGGTTCATCTTCACTATTGATTTCATTTTCACAATCGTCAAAATTGAAAATAATAGACTTACCCAAGCAATTTTAGCACGTCGCTTTAAATATGCCTCGACTGCATTTTTTGCCCTTTTAAGCTCTACTCGAGGGTCAAATATTTCAACTTCACCGTAATTTTTGTACATCTGTAATGATCCTGTTATAACAAAATCAGTTTGATAAAAAATTATTTGCTTAGTATTAGCTATTTCATGCTTCATGCAATATTTAAAACCATGAAATCAAATTTTTTAAGAAATGCATGAGCATAAGCTGAATCAAACTTTGGGTCCAGAATCTTTTAACCCAAAATTTGTAGAAGAACTGCATAGATGAAATTTGTAACTAGACAGATAGGAACAAAAAAATCGCCATTCTGCCATTTTCAATAATATTGTAGCTAAAAAAAAAAAAAAAACAGAAACAAAAAGCATACCGCAACGATATCAGTTTCCTTGGTAGCACCACTAAACATTTCCTGCAGATGCTCACTCAAAAGATTGGCCCACTTTTGTACTCTGTAGAAATTTCGAAATTCAATTAATTTGAAAAGTTCAGCTTCGACTGACAATTCTAAGATGAAAATTATCAAACATGGAACTTTTTTTTCGTAGTCAAACCTTAAGCTAGTAATGTGAAACAAAATTATCGAAATGGAAGTGAAAATTTACTCTATTGTAAGTTGTTCTGCAGATGAACCATAGTGTAGTTGTGATGATAGCAGTAGCAGTAGTGGTATTCGTAACCAATTAATTGTTAACTGCCAAAGCATTACAACTGAAACTGAAACAATTCATTTCCAGTATTTTTTTCAGAATCAAAAATTCATCTTCATGCTTTCGATTAATTTTCCAGCTGCCTAAAAGATCATTTGATGCGTATCCGTACTTGTCATATGAGGGGAAAGACTAGTATTCTCAATAATAAAAGAATAATAGCTTCAATTTTTGGAAAAAATGAGACGTATCCGGCTAGCCATGAGTTGATCACCGGAAATAGCTTAGATATTAAATGAATCTATTCACACACGTGAATGAATTAATAATAAATCTTGATATAAGATAATTCCTATTTATTTAGTAAGAATGCTGCGGGACGATCATTTGAAGTTTCAGAAACAATAAATATGTCTAATCCTTTGGCACAGAATAAGCATTGCAAAAAAACGAGGAAATATTATATTTTCTACAGAAAGTTTTGGGAAATTGAACTGAATAAGTACTTGCCGAAATATTTCGTAAAAAGCTGTGAGAAAAGAAAATATGAATTGATGAGAATATATTTGGTAAAAGTATGTTAATGATTGAATTTGAAAGATTTGACATTTTTAGTAGGCTTGAAAATTGATTAAGCGAAGTTATGAAATATGTTGTTACAGAATTTGACATTTATGAGGTGTGCATTAGAAAATGATTAAAACTTGTGTAGGGAAGAGAAATCACTTAGCAAGTAAAGTTTTGTAAGGAAGAGAAAGAAATAAATTGATAAAATAATCAATAATATAATATAAGAAAATTGTTATAGCAAACAAAATGTCATACAAGCGTGAAATATGAAATTTTTCGCATTGCTTAATCAGCAACATATCTTTAAATATCAATTATTGGTAGCATATCTGAAACTTTCTTTGAAGTTCCAGCACGCTAAATTGTGCAAACTAATTTTGAATAAATATTTCATTACTAGTAAATGCCAGACGCTTACTTACCATACCAAAAGCCCAGAATTGTCATTAAGCCACTAGGATAGAATAATCCAAAATTGTAGCTATCGATGATAAGGAAATTGCAGGGGATGCGATGATAAATGAATGACTACAACGTTGATTCGGAACTTGAACGTTACTCTATCCATCTGTCAACTAAATTTTATGAAAGTATAAAAAGCTTATTGAAGGAGCAATAGCTGATTTCATTTTCAGCTTTAAAAGTGAGGTGCTTTCTTCGAATCGATTTCTGCTCGATGTTTGTAACAGCACCGCAATGCACACAATCTTTTACTCCCACAAACAACATTCGCACTTGCGGGAATTATGTAATAATAGATGTAGTCTGATTCTATGCTGTCCTCATGCCATCTGACGTAATCAGTATCTAACCTAGTTTTGACCCTTATTCAATATTAATTTTACTTTGAGGTCATACTTTTATTGAATGAATAGGAAAAATCATACAATTTCCACTGCTAATTTGAGCATCTAGCCGTAAAAGCAAAAATATGTTAAACCACACAGTTGAATTTTTTTGTAAGAACTTTCTCCTTCACAGTTTACATTAAGTTTGATTACATTTCTGCTAAAAAGAAGTGAAAAGTTTGATCGGATTTTAAGGTGCTGTTTGGAATATTAAAATTTCCTGAAATTTTGGTAGCATAAATTAATTTTCAGTTGATATTGCTACATTTCTTTTTAAATCATTTTCTTGCATTGAGCAATTTCTGCGTTTAATCTTACTGAAATACATTTAATTAATCGAAGTAATCACAACGTCAGAAGAGATTAATCTTGTGAGATTTATCATTGCTAAAACGAAATAGATAACAATGCCAGCCTGTTATCAAAGCGATTGTGATCTGATTCTAAATGAGACAATTCAGTTTTTTCCGCACATCTAATCATTTCCAATAATTGCGATGAATAAAAGTTCCGCGTATTCAAGTTAAGTGCGGAGAAAAATAAATCGGGACGATTTTGTGGAAATATCAAAAGTATTGACAAAACTGGAGCAATCTAACACCGCACGTACGATTTTTAACGCCATTAATATTAATCATCCAGATGGGATAGAAATTTGGCATCATACGCATGACAATTTCATGGAATGATACGCGGTAGATATAAATGCAATATCATTCCTAAAATTCAATAGAAAAAGCTATCAAAAGCGCAGAAAGATTCACCTTGCAATCTTAAATAGCAAGACAGGCAATCCCCCGCTTTGGTCCAATTGATCTATCAGGAAAAAGAAATGGAAAGTTCATGATTTATGATGGTATTCTGAACTAAATATCAGTAAAGTTCATGAACACAAGTACTGAACTGCAATCTTCATGGAATACATGTCTACTTATTCCATCTGAATAGCAACATTAACTGTGTTGCGTCATTAGAATGTTCCAGGGCTGATCAGTTATATTCAGATCGAGCGCCTTAACGTAATTCTGCAAGTGATCTAAGATTCGTGGACAAATTCCACAACAGTAGTATTATTGTTACCTTGTGTCTCATTCCAGCATGTCTTTCAGTCGGGTGAGGTCTTATGGAGATTATATTATCTTTATTTTAATGTTGAATTTAAAAAGTTGATCAAAATTTTCGTCCATAATTTTCCACTTGAGATATAAAGTTTTCACTAAGGGCTTGCATGAACTTTGTGTTTGATTGAGTGGAATGTTGGAGATTAAAAGATTGCTTTGAAGTGAGTATTGTGTTGATTTTTGAAATTATAAATGATTTTATTTCATCGTTTTTATTTGTACAGTTTTTGCTAAGCTTACAAGTATATAGAGATTCCGTCGACTAGTGCTTAATCGGGTGGTTGGATTTGAAATTTGAAATTTTAATTGAAATTTTAGAGAGTCCTGAAATGGCCCTCAACTACATTGTGACAGCCTACAAGCCAACAGTGGTAACCCATGCTGTAGTTGGTAGTTTCATTGTTCCTACGGAACTAAATTTAGTGCTAGCAAAAACCAATCGCGTGGAGCTGTTTTTGGTCACACCGGAAGGACTGAAACCACACAGAGAATGTCCAGTATTCGGGCGCATCGCAACAATAAAACTGTTCAGGGCGCCGGGTGAGGTATGGATTCTTATTTTTCATATATCTTTGTAATGGTAATCTGGAATGAGCACTAACTGGTATCACAGACCTCTACATTGAAGCATTGTGGACTAATAATAAAATGATTGATTTATTGATTCGCAGTTTTTTTTTCTATCTTGCAGTGGCTAAAATGAAAGAGGTTTTCAGATTTTGAGATTCTAGTAAAATTCAACTTATTATATTTGTTGCTAATTCTAAATTTGAATTATTGGTATATCGTCAGTTTAATCAGCAAAGAAGGCAACCATTTTTCACTTTCTTAGTTTACATCTGAGAGAGGAATCGATAGGAAAGTTGGACAAATTGTAGGATGTGGATAGCTTGCTAATTCTGACAGCAAAATACCATTTGGCTATAATCCGTTGGACATCAACAAGCGAGTTGCGTACACGAGCTTCAGGGCACATTGTAGATCGAGTTGGAAGACCATCAGAAACAGGAATGATTGCAACTGTTCATTCATCCGGAGTAAGATTCATTAGCTATATTTACTTAACAAAACATGGTTCACTAATGATATGAAGATAAAATACAAGAGATTTTTTGAGTTGCAAAAGTGAATGAGTTCTTTACTTACGAAAAGAAACTAATTCTTTACGCATAATTGATAACAACTTTATCATTAATATTTCTTGTAGTTGATGGTGTTTCGTTTATACGACGGTCTTCTGAAGATAGTCCAATGGAATGAAGGGAAGGATCTCCGTGGTTTCAACGTTAGATGTGATGATTTGTATATCATTGATGTAGCATTTTTGTCTGATCCTGGTAATCGTTAACTTTTTGCAAAAATTATCAAGTTTTTGAAAGTTTTTTTGAAGGTTGCACCGGAGTTTTTATAACTCTTCTGTCTTTGGTAATATAATCCGGCTCCTGAATGAACACCTTTAGCCAAGTTATCTGAAAAACCGATGTAGTACCGCATAAATAAATTGTCGACCGTCCTACATATTTTCAGACCGTCCTACACTTGCCTACATATACCAGGACGATAATGGACGCCATGTAAAGGTAGTTACTCTTAATATTGATGATAAAGAGCTCAGCTCACCTCTTTGGAAGCACGATAATCTCGAAGGGGAAGCGAATATGGTGATTAGTGTTCCGGAACCTGTAGGTGGATGTCTCATTGCGGGTCCCGACGCTATTTCCTATCATAAAGGTGAGTTTTCCTTTCATGTTGCTATAGTTTAAACTTAAAAACACAATTTTGTATATTTACAAGTCTATTTTGAACTACATTCATGTAATTTGACGTGGATTCTTCGTTATGGTAATTTTACAACCGTGAAATATAGGCGATTATGCTGTAAATTGCCTTTTAATAATTAATGTCTAGGCATTGCCCGTCCCATCATATTCATAACTGCATTAGATTAACGGCGTTCGTTATCTGCTTCTCTGATTTGGGCTGTACGATCCACGTTTCGCATAATTATTTGATATGATCATCATCGTTCATATACGTGTAGCAACGATAATAAAAGTAACACTATAAGAAGGTGGATGAGTGACACTGCCTCAATCAAGCAATGGGATTCGAAATGTCGATCTGGAACTGCTTGCGATTCATGCAGAAGGTGTCTTGTACTGTTGGTGATAATAGTCTTCACCTCCTTTTTGTTTCCCATTCTCTTTCTATTTATTTATCAGACCTGCTTAATGCTAGGTCTTTGGCCAGAATCATAGCAATAGGCTTTTAAAACTTCTAATTATTGTTTAACGACTCATTTAACACTGTTTAAATTGGATTTTTTTAGGAGGCGAGGATGCCTTGCGTTATGCAGGGATGCCTGGATCAAAACTTCACAACACTTATCCAAATTGTTATGCTCCAGTGGATCGTGATGGACAGCGATATTTATTGGCTGATTTAGCTGGCAATTTATATATGTTGTTGTTAGAGCTGGGCAAAGATCAGGAACAAGATGAGAACTCATCTATAACTGTGAGGGATATGAAGGTTTAAATTTATATAAACATTCTGGAGTAAGTGCTTATCACCGCACATTTTCCAATCATTGCAGAATATGTTTTCCGTTGTGCAATTATCGCTCTATTTAAGCTTGGTCGACATGAAGTGACATTTAACTATAGTTTCACTCTTTTGTTTTTAACTGATCATACTGAAGTTATGCGCAATGTAATTTTATGATTTAAAGACATTTCCAGAGTGATCTGAGACACTTTTAATATTCACATTAAAATCTGAAGTTTTAATTAGATACGGGAAACTTATGCATTTTTTTGAATCTATCCCAGTTAAAAGAAAAGTTGTAAAGTCAAATAGTGTGTGTCGGCATATACATGATTTCATTTCTTTAGTGTCTGAACTGTGTTTGTTTCCGTCTTTAATTCATTCTGTGTAGGTCGAAAGCTTGGGGGAAACTTGTATAGCGGAGTGTATGTGCTATTTGGATAATGGAGTCTGTTTCATTGGTTCACGTTTTGGTGATAGTCAGCTGATACGTCTCAGTACAGGTTTGCTTTTTTGATAGGACAGATATTTCGCATGCAGTAAACCAAGTAATTTCTCCAAAAATTCTTGGAGTGTAGGCAATAATGGATATTACTGGGTTTTGCTGACCGTAATTGCATTAAAAAAATATTATGTTTGTCACAATAAAAGTCAAGGATTATCGAGAGAAATAATTTTTAACGATATATATTCATTAGAAATATGTATCAGAAATATGATGTATATTTAACAGTAAAGGATATTCTCCGATTTTCGGGTTACTCCAACTCATTCGATTTCGTTCCTATATTTATTAAGACTCCTGTGGCTTCTTAAATAATTTAGTTTTTTTTTGGTTTAGAACCGCGAGCTGACGGCACCGGCTACATATCGTTGTTAGACAATTATACGAATCTGGCACCAATAAGAGATATGACAGTAATGCGGTGTAATGGACAGCAACAGATCTTAACATGTTCTGGAGCTTACAAAGTAAGTTGCTGGTTTCTATACGCAATTCTGAAGTAAGCATATGGTGATTTGTATAATGGTGTTAATCCATATCATACGACGAGTAAATGAACAGACAGCATATGTGAAAATTTATTTAAAATCATATGATGTTTTTCAGGATGGTACTATTCGTATTATTCGGAATGGAATTGGAATCGAAGAATTGGCTTCTGTAGAGCTAAAAGGCATCAAAAACATGTTTACTCTACGTACACGTAACCCTGAATTTGATGATTATTTAATTCTCAGTTTCGATAGCGAAACACATGTTCTTTTTATTAATGGCGAGGAATTAGAGGACACACAGATAACAGGTAGTTAATTTCGCAATAGTTGTTATTCATTTGACGGTAAAATACTAGTATCATCGTTTCAGATTCTTTTTTTAGTGCAATAATAATAAAGTTAGTTATATTTCACATTTAAGCTGCCATGAATTTCATCAACTCAAATTCTGGAATTCAGTATGTGGTTCCATTCGTTTATTTGCAAGTTTAACGAAATACTTTTTTACTGTAGGTTTCGCAGTTGACGGTGCAACCCTTTGGACAGGCTGTCTATTTTATAGTAAAACAATTTTGCAAGTAACACATGGCGAAGTAATTCTTATCAATGATGATAATATTCAAGTATGGAAAGCTCCCAAATGGATCACGCTTGTTGCTGTCAATGAAATAACTGGCATGAATTTGTTATTGATCGTAGATCTTCCATTGTTTTATAAACTAGCTTAATTGCCTAATTTAGGAGAATAGGAGAGGAGAAAATGTTGCTTTTTATTAAGCAAAAAGAAATAATAAATAGTATTGTTTTATCTGTAAACTCCCAGGGATATCGTTTAACAAGTATAATAAGATGTAGCTATTTTTGAGTTTCAGCAATAATTTTGTTATTTTCCCAAATCTCATCAGTTTTAGCAGAAAAATTATGTGTATTGATATGGTCTGTAGAATAGTTCAGTTAATATTACACAGAAATTCTAAGCCTATTACAGGTCAGTTGGTGGTAGCCTGTGGAGCTGTTCTGATATATTTAGAAGCAAATTCTGCTGGTTTTAAAGTGATCAGCGAATTAGAATGCGAATTTGAAATTTCTTGTGTTGACATCACTCCTGTTGGTATGTTATTCGTTATTTATAATGAAATTTTTAATAGCATTTGAAAGACAAGAAGGTTTGAAAAATAGAGGGTAAAAGTTTTTCAGTATTAGTTTCTGGTGTCCACACTCTGTTATTCATTTATAAATCTCAGTTTACGAACCATTCTTACAAATTTCTATTCTTTTTTTCAAATCTCTCTTTCAAACTCTGACAAATTTTTCTTCCATCTTATCATATATGGACCAGGAGGACAGAGGATTTCTTTACAAATATAATCTATTCTGATATAGAAATAGAATTCTTTACAAATATAGTCTATTCTGATATTGATTTTAATTGATTTAGGTTAGTCTATATTAGTAATTTCTTGATTTTGAGGAAACGGTACACAACGTTCCGAAATTTGTGCTGTTGGTTACTGGACTGATCTTTCGGTCGCGTTGCGTACTTTGCCGCAATTGGCGGAAGTAGTGCGGGAAAAGATAACTGGTGATATGCTCTCTCGATCCATTATGTTGAGCCCAATGGAAGGACATGTTTATTTGCTGGTGGCGCTTGGAGATGGAACAGTGCATTATTTTCAGATTGATATGAAAACTGGTTAGCCTTGAATTTGTGTTAAATTCTGGTTTGTGATCACTAATCCAGCTATTAATGTGCTCATTTTTCGCATAATTTTCGTTTTGAATTAACAGAACGGTTTCATATGTCAATGTAGCTTTCTGTTATGGAAAGATTTTCAAATCATTCTTCACATGAAATAAGTGGCTAGCTGGATTCACTTTTTAATATAAGAATAAGTCACACATTTCATCAATGTTTTTGACTTTAGGTGTTCTTTTGGATCCAAAAAAAGCAACTCTTGGGACACAGCCAATACATTTGCGTAAATTTCGATCTCGATGTTCTCCAATTCAGAATATCTTTGTGTGTAGTGATCGTCCAGCGGTCATTTATTCTTCGAATCAGAAACTTCTATTTTCTAATGTAAACCTCAGAATGGTTTCTACAATGACACCACTTTGTGCAGAAGCTTATCCAGATGCCTTGGTACTTACTGACGGGCATTCGTTGGTGATCGGTTGGTTCTAATCATTAATCATATTCAAGTAATATTGCTTATAACACTTAATGCTAGAATAGTGTCAACAAATACGGTTTTTCTAGGTCATAGGACCTTCTTGACGGATGTATATTGATGTCGAGGTTTTCTCTTTTTTTTGAAGTGAAATGGATGATGCCAGAAAATCTTTGGCTGTTTCTAGGTAGAATCGATGATATCCAGAAGCTGCACATCAGAACAGTTCCACTGGGTGAAAGTCCTTCTCGAATTGCCTACCAGTCAGAAACAAATACGATTGCCGTGATTGTTGAGCGGTTAGAGGTGATTTGTTTTTTTTATTTATATAATGCATGTGTTTTGTTTTTTTTGGTGATTTTTTGCCCGATTTATAGTAATAGAAATGTACATTCATGCTTCCAGTAATTTTTGTGGTAATTTTTTGTTTTTTTTTTTTCAGTTTGTGGACGGCATGGGGAAACATCATTTTGGACAATGTGCATCAAAAAATGCAATGGAAACGTCAAGTAGTCGGTTGAGTTCCATGAGGCGAGAACCTACTCCGGAATGTTTGGCTGAGGAAGCGGAAGTGAGTGATTCAGATAAATTTAGGGGAAGTTATATTAATGCCTGCAAATAAACACTTATTTGTGGCATATTTTTCTTCTATGACACATGCATTGAGTTGACTGTAAAACAGTCTCAGAATTGGTTATAAACCATGAATTTAGGTTTCAGATGTTTCGTTTTGGAATTTTTGTTATAATACACAATGTTTCAAAATTAAGTATATGCTGGTTATTCCTTTGATCGCATATTTGATATGAATGCATTGAGATTACAGGTCAGTTCAATTTTGTTGCTGGATTCCAATACATTTGAAATATTACATTCTCATGAGCTTGAAGGCAGTGAAATGGCAATGTCACTAGCTTCTTGTCAACTCGGAAGTGATAGCCAACCGTATTTCGTTGTAGGCACCGCAGTTATCATGTCTGATGAAACGGAATCCAAAATGGTAAGTTGCACAATCACCAATTTATCCATCCTGACTTATCCTCTTTCTAGTTTCTTACTTCCAGATTTAGTCAGTTCTTCAAATCAATGTAGGCTTGTGATTGCAGGGTCGTATCATGATGTTCCAAGCATCAGAGGGTCCGGAACGTATGCGTTTGGTGTATGAAAAAGAAATTAAAGGAGCCGCTTATTCTATTCAGTCTATGGATGGTGTGTAAAAGCGATTCTTGGAAACAATTCATTTCGTTTTTATTCAGCATTTGAAGTTAAAAGTCCGAAGATTTGAATTACGCTGAAGTTATATTATCATATACGAAAACTAGGACATTGCAGGGAAACTGGTGGTTGCAGTCAACAGTTGTGTTCGGTTATTTGAATGGACTGCTGACAAAGAATTACGATTGGAATGTTCCGATTTTGATAACGTTACTGCATTATATTTAAAGACGAAGAATGATTTAATTTTGGTGGGCGATTTGATGCGGTCGCTTTCTCTTCTTTCCTATAAATCAATGGAATCAACGTTTGAAAAAGTAGCTAGGTAAGAGGTTTGTTTGGTCATTATTTTTTCACTTAATTTTTCCATTGTTATGATTTTATTTTAAGGTGCTGAGAATGAGCAAGAAGTTCTAACTGTTTCATTAATCTAACTTATATTCGTATTTTTAAAGTTAATTTGTGTATTAGTATATATCCGGTTGACGACTGATTGTGATAGATTTCTTAAGTCCTGAAGACTTTGAACTTGCACAAAATTTTTTCTTTCACTCACTAATATTTTGAGCATGATTTTAAGAGATTTCATGACAAATTGGATGTCAGCTTGTGAGATAATAGATTCTGACAACTTTTTGGGTGCTGAAAACTCGTATAACTTGTTTACGGTAATCAAGGATTCATTCACAGTGTTCAAAGAAGAAGGGACAAGATTACAAGTAATTAATGTTTTCATTCCTTCAAAAGTTTGGAATATATTGTATCCAAGTGACGATCACATTTTCCTTTTGAAAATTTTTGCACTTTAAGTGATTCTGCAAAATATATTGGAAGGTATTAATTCAGGAATTAGGGTTATTTTACTTGGGTGAAATGGTTAATGTATTCTGCCATGGATCTTTAACTGCTACGCAAGTTGATGTGGCACCGCTGTATCATTCCTCGATTTTGTATGGTACTTCAGATGGTGGTATAGGAGTCGTTGTTCAAATGCCGCCAGCGCTTTACGCGTAAGTTTGTTTTGATTAATTTAGGAAATCTAGGAAAATTTATGACATCTTCCAACCAGACGGGCTCTCCTGGTTCTATGGTTGGAAGTTAAAAGTTGTCTTTGATTTTTGCATTTCAGATTCCTACAAGACGTTCAGAAACGTTTGGCTGAGTACACAGAAAATTGTATGCGAATTTCGCACACACAATATAGAACATTTGAAACAGAGAAGCGAAGCGAAGTTCCAAATGGTTTCATCGATGGTGATTTAATCGAAAGCCTTTTGGATATGGGCAAAGATTCGGTGGAACACATCGTTAACGGACTTAAAATGCCGCTGTTAAACAGTAAGGATGTATTATTTCCCCTAATTTTTATTTCCAGAATTGTTCAAATAAGATCATATTAGCGCTGGTATGATCTTTTTTAAGTAAAAAGAAGAATGCATCCTTCCACCTGTTGTTTAAAAGTTATGGTTACGCTCATAAAATCCATAATAAAAGTGCGTAGACAGTATTTCTCTTTGAACTCTGGACTGGAACAAAATGTGATTCCCTGAAATTGTGGGAAGTGGAGTTTGTTCAAATTTATCTAAAAATATTTTGGCAAGGTTTTCAAAATTTTCCAGTATTTACATCGAATAAATCACAAATGTTTTATCCGAATAGAATAATCACATTACTTAGAATAATCACATTACTTTTAGGTACACCGGCCTCTGAATCTACGGAGCTAGTAGATGCGACAGCAGAAGATGTGTTAAAACTCGTCGAAGATTTATCAAGGATACATTAGCCCAGTGTGGTAAATGCTCTTCTGTTGGACAGACCGTAAAGTGATGCTGTGTGTAAGAAGTAACTGATAGCCAGTCATTAAATCTGCTATGCAAGTTTGATCGTTATTTGCTGGTCGCTGTACAGTGCTGCTCAAAGCTGTTAGACCAGTTGTTCTCTCATTCATGCTTCAGTAAAATGCTATAAATTTATATTCGTTGTCCTATTTATTTGGTCTCGCTCTTTATTTGCTCCCCGAAGTAAAAGTGAAGCTCAAATAAGCACAAGTATTGCTTGTATTCAATATATTTTCAAATTTTTATCTTTAAATTGGACCTCTAACTCCCAATTATTCTGTGAAGCCTTCGGCGTTGCTGAAGGGCAGACTTCACTCAGGATCATATTCACCAAAAAAGCATATTCACTCAAGATCTCTCGTAATTAATTGCAGTCCCTTAATTTATATTTAAATGCAAAATGAAGTATTGTGATGTGTACCTTGCTCTATTGATAATTTTCTAAAAAATTAGGATATTGATATTTATTGTCCATAAATACATACTCAATTGTACGAGCTATTCTCATATTGTGCTAGCAATCCCCATATTTACGAGCAATTTTTATATTTTAAGTTATAAGCTGTGTATTTTGTCTATCCTCATACCATTTGCTATTGTTGTATACTAACTTTTTTGTATTAGATTGTGCCACACTTTTTTTTTTTATTACTTTTGCATTCAAATATTAGCACTTTTATCTCGGATTGATGGTAGCTTTTTTGTAATCTATTATATATATATATATGGTTTCCCATTGTTTTTGAATCATAGGGCATTTGATTCGAAAAAAGGAAAAAAATCTTGTCAGCTTTGTTCGCTTATTTTTCATTTAAATGTGATAAATGTTCTGCTGACTCAGTTTACTGTTGCCGTACACTACTAAACTAGTCGTGTAGGGAAACTAAGTTTTGGGACTCATTCTTGGCAATAGGCTTCGCAGCGTTAGGTTCATTCTTCGAAGCTTCTGGTTCATTTTCGAATTTCAAGGGTTGTGTTAATTCCTAACTCGTCCAAGTTAACAATCATCCTTTGAAGGGTGCGTGAGGGACGTTCGATTTGTAAACTACGGGCCGCATTTGTAGGAAATTTAGGGGTTACGGACATAAATTTAATTCGATATTGCAAAGTGTGGGTTTTGCGGGTTGTCATCATATTAAGTTTTTGTGGGGGGCCGTATTTGATGTTTTCCTTCTCCACTCTTTATCCTACATTGTTCAGTGCAGCACAATCTTGCATTGTACATAAAACCTAATAATAACTTTTATGTTGTATGCAAATAATTATATGATGAGGTATACGTTGGTTTTCCTGTAGTTATGTTGGCCACACAGCGTTAATGTGTGGTCGTGAAATCAACTATTGAGCTAATTTTTTTATTCTATTAGCGCGCTATTACTGTGTTGAAATTTCGAAAATGTCGAAAATGGGGACGATTAATTCGGATACTGATCCGGACACAGTTACAATTTTACATCGTCGTGGTCCAACGCAAAGAACACTGCGAACAACAGCGGTTTGTTCTTATGTTAGAAGTAAGATCATAAGTGATTTCGTACTAAGCTGCCGTGCTACTGTTTATTATTTTCTCAGCATTAGTTTTTTCACGATCACTGGTTAGAAAAACACTATCGCATGTTAAATGTTTGGACTTGGCATAAGCAATGCCATCGTGCAACGAGCTAATGAGGATGCACGGCTATGTATCTACAAAAAAGCATGCATATGACAGAAGTATTCCAAATGGACTTATTGCAGATGGATAATGCATTTGGACATCTTGGAGATGATTTCATAATGGCAAATTTTGTTAGGACATTTGTCATGTTGCGTTTCAGGAACTCAACGCAGCACAACGTCGTGGGATGGCTATTGAGACATCGAAGAAAATTATGGCTGGTGGTAATAGACAGCATCATGCGGCTAAGAATACTTCAAGGTTATAGAATTTCTCATTGATGACCATATAGCTAGCTCAAAAAACAAAAACAAAAAGTAATCACGGGGCTTTCTCATTTCATCGCAAGCAGATCGCTTTGTATAATTGGCATAAGGACTGCTTTGGTATACGTTCCAAATTGTAATTTGGAAGTTTTCTTGTCTTGCAGTCCAATTGAGTTGTTAAAGCTAACTTCGTATTCATTGAAGACTGGATGAGGAAACTGAGGAGTTACATCATGAGCGTGTTTCGCTGACATTTGGCAAAGTGATGCAACAGGCGCGGCAGAGTAAGGCATGGACCCAGAAAGATCTGGCTACCGTAAGTATTTCTTTTCTTCTCTGAAGATTTAGAAACATTTTAAATTATTTTTCATTGGCGCTGTTCATTTTAGCACATCAACGAAAAGCCGCAAGTAGTGGCGGAGTATGAAAATGGTAAGGCTGTCCCTAATCAGCAGGTAATCTTCATTAGTTTGATCCTCTATTTTTTTTAACTTTCCAATTCCTTTGCTTCTTAATTTATTTTATGCATCACATATCATATTTAGGAAGAAGATAATTTCAGTTCTTCTTTGTAGATTCTAGCTAAAATGGAACGAGCGTTAGGTGTAAAGTTGCGTGGTAAGGATATGGGTCAGCCAATGGCTAGCAAAAGCGTACCAGGTGTTAAAAAGAAGTGAGGACACTTGGACGTTTAACTGATTGTTGGTGCCTTGATTTTTATTAGAAAAGCATGATTCATATGAAATACGTCATATTATACACATTTGTGAATACGGAATAATTTATTTTTATTACTCAATTTTTTTATTTTTACTACACTGTTTTAACACTTCTCAGCGCTACCAGTAGCACTTACTAATGAAAAAAAACTTGATATCTTCCTATTTCTTTTTTACAATTTGATAAAATTTAATCCATGTTCAGTCTTTAGTGGTCAGTTTATTTGAAATGGTGTAGGATTTTTTTTGAAATAGGCATTTATCTAAACGGGAGCTTTACAGTATTCGTGAAAAAGTTGCCTTTAGAAATATTCTTAGTAAAACTTCTCATCCAGTAAGAGAGTTCTTGCAATTCCAATGATAGTTTTGGTTTTGAAAGAAGGTATGCTATTTTGGCATAAGTCTGCGATTAATTTATTAATGGTGCACATTCACATTGCTCGAGGTCAACTGCCATTATTTTTTTGCTGATCATTTCGGTAGTTGTTTATCTCTCTACCAATTTACACATGAAACTAAATAGTGGAGACAAAAAAAGTGATCTTATTCTACGGGTCACTGAGAAATTTACGCCTTGAGCAGGTTTTGTCGGTAGTACTTTATAAACTTATTCAGAGCATGTCTCTGCTTGTTACTCTGCTCGATCTGTACTAGAATGTTATTACATGAATTGTAAGTTTTGAAAAGTTCATTAATAGAAGATGATATTGAAAGTGAATTTCAGACTTTTTTTGTGGAATGTTGTGATGCTTCCAATTTTCGTGTTCGAAGCTGTCGTTTCTTGATATTTTATGGGATGATGATTCTCATCTGTTTGTGGATTTTGTACATAAAATTATTAACTCGGAATTCCATTAGTTATCATCATTGCACAGCTACAGCAAAATGTAATAAGATATTCAAATCGCCAATTGCTTGCTTCTAGTGAAGGGTCAGATGAGGTTGTTAACCCGAAAGCTGTCATACTTGGACAATGGAAGAATTTGAAGCAATGATGTATAAACCATTTCAATGCAAACTAGAAGTTGAAAATTTGAAACTGAGCACTGCCATGAAAAAGGACGGGCGGAAATTAAAATATTGGATTTTCGAAATGTGGTGAATTATACATTGTTGACAGATATAACTGGAGTCAGGAGTGTCGACACACCGAGTCTGCTATACAATGAATGTTAAGCTTCGAGCCACCGTCAACAGACAGGGCAGTAAAGTGAGCTTTGATAGGAAGGGTCCATGAACAGTACTAAAAAACTTTCTACAGTAAGTTCTTTGTCGGTTTCAGCATGTAGGGGAGGATTTACGAGAAAAGAATGACTGCTGCTAGGTAAGCAGCATACAAGTAGGCATATGAATTTAAAGGATAAATACATAGATATAGGGCGGTGGTTGGTTCTTTACTAGAAGTTATAGGTACTGGTGTCAGTCGTTCTATTCGAGTTTGAGCAATAGGCAAAAACAAGTCAACTAATGTGAGCGTGAATGGATTAAAGACATTCTATAATATAGAATCAAATTTAAATTTGAAATTCAATGAGTTGGATATTATAAATCTTTAATCTTTGTTTTGGGAGAGCTCTGATTTGGCACAGTCGAATTGTAGTGAAAGTTAATATTCGATGGAGAGATTTACAAGACATGAGCCTTCAAAACCACTTAAAATGTCAAACTATTAGAGCATTTTAATTATTTAACAACGGGTGCAACTACTAACTAAGCCAGCATATTACTGTATTATCATGTTGAATTGCATGGTTTTTTTTAACCAATGATTTATTGCAGGTGAATGAAACTGGCAAGTAATGTATGTGCCTCTGGTAAAGGAAACTTCAATAAGAGTCAAAAGATTGCAGTATAATGTATTGTCATTGATGACTCATTTCTGGCAACAAAGCAGTAAAAAAAATTAGAAAAAAACATGTGAAGATTTTAAGGTGATAATGAGAAATAAAATGTCAAAATTGTTCGAAAAATTTTAATTAAAAATGAACCCTTTTCTTCCAAGAAACTTAACAATTTTTTCTTAATTTAGAACTAATAAGATTTCAAGTTTTGGAAAAGCTTTTGTATACTACACTATTTTTTTCACCGCACCGAGCAATAAATGCTAAAATATCAATGGTAGCATATATTTATTAAATCTGTGGTAAAGATTAAACAGATAAACTTGGTGACAAATCCATATCGCGACAAGAATGGAAACTTCCTCATTATTTACAGTATTTGCAGAACTTGGTAACATATGAATAATTGATTTCTTATTGGAAAAGAAAACTTGGAATGGAAAACATTTATAAATGAATTATGTATTCATTAAAAAGAGATAGTCTGCTTGATTCTTAGCGAATTAGTGACTTGCAGTAAATTAATGTCAATTAATCCACTAAAAGACAATTTTACAAAACAAGAAAATGAAACAAGCAATGTAATAAAAGTAATAAAAGCATATTAATACAAATACATTGAATTATATACAAATTATGTAAATGAATATACCATTCGTGCATATAAGCATATTTTTTAATTTGGCAAAAGCAAAGAAGTGGTAAATATTTCCATTCCTAATGTTTTTGTCTAAAATCGCTGTTACGGTTCAATGCTAATTCCTAGCACGTGTTTCAGTAAAAGTATTAAAACGGAAATATTTCGATAGTTTAAATTTCAACAGCAACAACACACTTCGGAGATGGATGCTTTGAAGTGATTGAAATTGTTCCCTTAATGCTGTTATAAATCAGCTTCAACAACACACCTGGCCGTTTCATTGTTCGTCTATTCATTTATTATTCTGACTGAGATTGCCGCATCTTCGTTCTTACCAACTTCGTTAGCTGATGGCGATCGATGATTAATGTGTTCAGTGCAATTGAATCCTCTACATTCAACCTTTCGAACTTCAATCCATGAATCAGCACTTCGTTTCTCATCTTTTCCGGATTATTTTTTGGTCCTTGATGTGGCATTGGAAATATCCTTGTAGTTACTACTTTCAAGTAACTAAATAGCTAGATTATCAAATAATCTATGCTCATTTTCATTTCTTGATATAGTATTACTTATCACCAATTGCTTTATGCTGTTTTTATTTCTCTATTTTCTCTTTCTATGTTTTTTATCGAATTTTTTATTTTTGCTTGTAAGTTTTTTTCCTTTTCCTTTCATTTTCCGAACTCCCATTCGATAAAGCGTTCACTTTACGGTACAAACTTTCTGATAACTTTCATTGTGCTTTTAATACCAATACACGCTGTAATACGCAAGTTATGGAGATTTATTCTAAAAGTATGTTTCAAAAATGATTTCCCAAAAAATAAAAATCAATAATTCCAGCACTACTGATGTTTCCGTCCTATCAGAAGATTTCCAGTAGATTTTGACAAAGACACAACTTCAAAAGGGTTATTACCAAAAAACAGTCTATCACAGAAAGTGCTCAACAAATTTAAAGCAAGTGAAGAAGTCCAAATGTGGTATGTTCTTTAATATTTCATTCAGAATATCTAAATTTGGTGAGTCCTTCAATTTGAGCATACTCCCAATATTAACTATTTCTTCTCAATTTTCATTTTTTTTCCGAACGGAAACCCAGTTAGAAGCAAAAGGAAAAAAACTACCAATTATTGAAAATGACGAACTTAATAACTATTTATCAAGAGAAAAATGAGAGTAACGAAATGCAAATAATAGGAAATGACAACAACACTTGTATCAGTAAAGTAGTCTTAATGAATGCAGTCCAAGAATGATGGACACCAAAAAGCACTATAAATTTTTCATGATTTTTTTTTCTCAGTTGTATAAGGATTCAAATTTTATTCAGTTCCTCAAAATCCTATATATCTAGAAATGGAATACAATTCTTGGTTAGACAGAAGCGAAACAGCTACTTCACCAAATTCGGTTCAAAATTGATTCAACGAAAAAGATTAATTTAATTTTTCTATTTCGCTGAAATAAGAAAGATAATGGTCTTTTTGAGACATTTTGAAAATCGAAGCAGAGAGCTACTCATTAGTTGTACTTACCGTAAATTTAAATATTTATTTCTCATATTTACATGAATGAAGGATGCAAAATGGAGTGGATATTGTATTTATTATTACCTAATATTGCAAATGCCTTGTTTCCACTATCCCGTGTTCAAAGCGTCGCAGTGCAGGGAATACTTCTGTGCGAAGGCAGACCGCTACCGGATCATCAGATAATTCTTATTGATCACGATAGTTCGTCACTTCAGTAATCGTCATTTCTAAAAAAATTATTTCAAAATTTCCATAAGCATACTAATATAAATTACTTTTATGACCGTTTTTATTAATTTGTAAAAATATTTACATTCGAAGTTTCGAAAAGCTTTGATAAAATCTAAAAAGATATTTACGACTGTTATTTCGCTCAAAATGCACCTTAAGAAGATCGAAGAGGATTTTGCATTATTTGTTATGATACATTGCTGATTTCTACTTCACTTTTTAATTTGTTATGAAAGCATTTATTTAGAATTTGATCCAGATGATATAATGGCGACGAATGTGACAGACCAAAGGGGACACTTTTTTGTGCGTGGCAATGAAAGTGAATGGAGTACAATCGATCCTGTACTTATCGTTCGTCATAAATGCAACGATGGTGGAATCGTGAAGTTTTTATATCTTTCATCTTTTCATCTTCAAGGAACAACAGATTTCATTTAAAAAAAAACTAGAATATCAGTTCTTCAATCAAATGCTAAGATCTTACAGCATTTTTTTATAAAAATTTTTTGAATAACTGAAGATTGCTTTTCTAAGCTCTTATGCAAAACACCTAATTGCATAAATTTTCAGTTCGATGTAAATTATAATCTTTTCCTGTCTACTTGCACTAACATTATTTTGTTTAGCCATGCGACCGCGAATGGAGACTGGGAATTCCGGTGAAATATATAAGTAATGAGGGAGATATACAGAATATCATGGATATGGGTATCTTGAATGCTGAAGTGGTCTTTTATGGCGAGAAGCGGGATTGCTTATTGTAATTTACTCAGATAATTTTCTAACAATAACTTTATTCATAATTTATGAATTCTGCTTTATTCAGTAAATGAATAATTGCTGCTTTGTCAAAATTAGATTTTTAAACTGCTAAATTCGTTTCTCTATTATTGTCATCAAATATCACATTTAACATCCTATCATATTCTGCAGGCATTTGATAATTTGTCGAGTATGAATAACTTATATCATCAATGTATAAGTTAATAAAATGTTAGTTTTCTACTATATCACAGAATTATCAGAAATCAATGTTAGAACCAGCAAAAAATGTATAAAATGAAACGATTTGCAATCTTTTTTTTCTCTCTGTCAACAACGATATAGTCCGACCACAGCCTCATGGCAAAATAAATATTCATCACTAACTAATTAAGCCTTCCATTTTACCGCTGACTATTTAATTATTATAATCAACAAAAGGGAAGTATCATTGACTGTCTATAGCTTCTGCATTTCAAAAATCTCACTTCCTGATGTTATAGAAACATCCCGGCGAGTAGAGGTCTTAGGATGTCAGGAGCATAGACAAAAATCTCACAAGCATACTACAGAGTGACTGACAGGTTGCATAACATTGACAGCTGTCCGGTGTGAGTGGCTCCTGATCATTATCTGATCGCTATCAGCGATCGGCAATACTTTTCATTCTATCTTCCGTATCAACTCGAATAAATCCAATGCAATGTTTTCGTTAATACATCCATAGATAAACCAGTTGCGTCCTCAGATTATTCCATCTTATTGAATGTTTTATCTTGACGATGTGATTGACTATTAAGTAGTACAAGCTAGGTTTTGTCGAATATTAAGATTCCGTAGTTATCACATATTTATTAAGAACTATCATTGTTCTCCTTACTTTCCTCCTTCTTTTCGTCACTAATTGCAATTTCCAGAAGCTCAGGTGGAAAAAGTTTCTACTTAAACTTCGTGGATTTTTTCTACAAAATTAACGCAACTTAACTAATCCATCATATGTGAAGCAAAAGGTAGAAGTCTTCAATTACTATGAAATGAATATTTCTACACATTATTGAAGATTTTATTCTTCCGGTCGGAAATTTCTACCAACATTATTTTCTACTTTATAAAACGGATAATTTTTCAAAAATGATTGAATTGAAGAAAAATTCCCAACTTTCAGTTTAGTGATTCGAATAGTATGCAATTTCAGAATAACTATGATTGAGAAAATTTTAGAACAAATGCATCGTCTAAATGATCTAATGCTTTTTATCATTGGTAGAAGTTACGTTTACTTAGGCACCTCTTTGCAGCGCACATAAAACAAGTTATCAATAATATAATAAAAGGCCATTGTACCAAAAGTCTTTCAAGGTGTCATATCTTTCATTAAAGAATTTATCAGATTTACTAAATTTCGAGATTGGAATTTTTGGAAATATAGTTCAGATTTTGCAGAAAAATGTGGCTAGTATTTCCCCTGGGCGCTTATATTATCATTGGAATGGTGCATACAGCTAATGCATTCATCGAACAGAGCGTACGTGTCAGGGGAAGACTTCTATGCGGCTCTCAGCCGGCTTCTGGTATCCTGGTAAAATTGGTCGATAAAGATAATGGTAATAAGGCTTTAGTTTTTCTAGATAGTCAGTTTCCGGGACTGTAATGAAAATCAAGTTACTTGGGCTTTGTTGTTTGCAGGTCCGAATCCGGATGACTTAATGGCTTCCTGTCATACAGATAGAGGTGGTAAATTTGATTTACAAGGCAACTCATACGAATTATCGACGATTGATCCTGAAGTTCGAATTTATCACGATTGCAACGACTACGGAAGGGTATATATAATTCACATTCTTTTAAAATAGATTTGAGAAAACAATGCTTTCAGAAAGTTACTGGCAATATGAAGGGATGAAGTGAATGTATGTGCATAGAAATGAATAGAGCATGAGGTCAGAACAGTTTAACTTGTTTGATTGAAACTGTATTAATGACAGTTAGTGTGAATTAATCCTTAACGGTGATCAAGAGTTGAACACTTGGAGCGGGTCGGGGACTTGAGGATAAGTGATGAGCGGTATGCATGTGGGCATCTATGTTTGCGTAGAACTTGGAAGAACGATCGTTTACCAGGTGGTTGAACAACAAACAAGGAAAATTGCAAGACTGTATATATTGAAAAGGTGTGAACTGTTTGAGTTGAGTACAACAAACTGGTGAAGAGTATATGAGCTCTTCAACACAGAGATTTTCACAACTGAAAAAAAATGAAATCGACATGGAGGGAGTGGGAAGCCTAATGGAGTAATACTTAAGACAAAAGTATGAGCAGAGTCTATCATTCAAGACAATGTCATAAGTGGATATTGCGGGAAGCTATTAATTGGTTTCACTACTAGTACTATCCGGCTTTAGCTTTTCTAGGAAAAAAAAGGTTCATACTTGGAATGGTCTAAGTGCCAAAACAATGGATGATTCGATTAGCATGTTTTCTCGAGACTTTCTCCTAGCCGTGAACAAATATAGACAGTATCGAAGGATTTAATTTAATAATTGAAATCAAAACAATAGGCCCTGATATAAATAAGTTAGCTGCTTTGGAATAGCTAATGATGGTTATTGAATTGTTATGCCATTTTCCGGTCACGGAAATCTATCTAATGGGTGAAGCAAGCTATGACGGATAAAAAATAATTGATGAAGGAGTTGTTCAGTAGAGGTACGGCCACTGACCATTAGATGGCCATTGGAAAAGTAGGCAGAAAAGCTTTTAGTCAATACCCTTTTAGATGAAGCGCTTGAAAATGTACACAAAGCATTCCACTTAATCATTGGATTTTGGATGTTTAGACTGTGTGCAAACAAGCAGAACAGAATCCTGAAAATGAATTAGATCAGAAACGTGAACTTCCGGCATTCCGGATCAGCGAATACTTCTATAAAAAATGAGCGGCCATTGGTACGGTCTTCATGTTGATTAAAGACTTTTAACTATTTAAGAAAGCGATGGATACGAAGGAGAGCATAAGAGCAAGCAAAAGATATAACGC